TTCCCCCATTCTGAATCAATGAGACTTTCTGAGCCGGAAAACTTACTAATGCTATATCTTGTAGCTCTTTAGAAATGTTCCCTTCAGAAGTTGTCTGGTAATTAGCCACATGTGTATCTTTTGATTTAGCTGTGTTGTATCTTTTTATTTAGTCTAAAATTGATGCAGACCATAGCAAAAACTACTACCCATGAAATATTATTAGTCATCTAGAGAGGAGTGACCATTATGCTGCCCGTTACTGTGCATTTGTTCTTTTCCATGATGATGTTGCTCAATTTTCTGTGGCAGGTCGACAATTCAGTTAGGGTTAGTCTTTGGCTCCTCTAAAGGAAGGAGTCTGGGAAGGTCACAGCACGTTGCCAGAAACACATCTCTCTGGTTCTCCATACTTCATGTTGGTGGGGTTTGTTTGTTTGTTTGTTTGTTTATTTGTTTTGTTAAAGAAGGTCGTGTCCTGTGCCCTCCATGCCCTTGCTATCAGCCATTTGGGCAATCTCTTTCTGTCTGACACGTGACATAGAAGCTGTCCATAGAAGCAGTTCCCGGGCAGAGAAGAATACAAGCACTGGATTCAAAGTTTTCAGATCGGAGTAATGGCACAGGCGTTTAAAATTAAGCATGTGCTGAATTAAGTTTTCTGGATTGTGCCTTAACTGCAGAACCCATTTGTTTGTTGTACCTTTTCTCCTGAGTAACGCTTCAAACATCTCTGAACCCACTAAACCACATGGGATTCGTAACTCGGACAAAGCTGATAGCATTGCTTGATGTGCAGCGTTGAGCCTGAGTGCAAAGAGAGCATTTCCAGGTCAATATCTACACTATGGGTGTGTTTCTTATTGTGTTTTAATAAGATGCATCTGTTTCTTGGCAGTTCTATAAAAAATTCCGCTAGCTGTTGTTTCCTGCTATAATATTTATATGCAAGAAAGCTCACAAACTCTGATGCCCTTGAAAATTAAGCAGTTTCAAAGATAGAGTTTTTACATATATATATATATTTCCTGATTAGGCATTGAACTAAAATCCATGCCTAGATTTATGTTTTAAACTGAGTACCTCCTGAATTTAGAGCCACTTAGTACCCTGTCAAGCCTTAATCAGGCAAGATCACTGTCTCCTCCATCCTTTAAAACCCTTCGAACAGCCTGTTCTTTTGGCGAGTACAACTACCTTGACCTTACCCATGTTGGGACTTATTTCAAGTCTGAGCAGAAGACTTGAGGGCACACCTAGTGCAAAAGACATCAGCTCCTGTGAGCTGTGATAAATGTGAATGAGTGGGTTCCGGCTCCACGAGGACGACTTACTGATTTCTCACGAGGATGTGGAGAGGGTGGAGCAGTGCTGCCAAGGATTGAAATCAGGGCCAACTGCTCAGTTGCTTGATCTCTTTTCCGAGACTTCCAAACTTCAATTCTGCCCTGCTACGTACTGTTTATTACTCTATTCATAGTGGAGAGGGTTTGCCACAGATTTTTATTTTACTTTGTGCAACCAATGATTACCTTATTGTAACAGCGCTGTGATATTGAGACATTTTTCACCCTTCAGACTATACCGAAGACAAAAAAAGTGATTTCACGAAGTGAGTACCCAAATGACTTGTAAATAGAAATATAGCAACATATGGATATTAAAGCACATCCTTTGGCCTCGTTTTGTTCCTAGGAGAGGCGTTAGTTGGAAAGCATCCAGTTATACCCTGAGCGCTACTTGAATGAGGATCGGAGTTCCCAGAGACTTGACACTAACAGAGTTGCTTTCTAACTTTTTTAATGAGGAAGAATTCCTTTTTCAGCTCTGGTGTCAACAAAAAACAGCTGCAGCGAATGCTTTGTAGGGTAATGGTTAGAGCAGGCGTCTGAGAATGAGGTGTGGCCCCATTAAGGTCAAGGGAAGAAGTTCTATTATTTTCAGGATTTCACCCCCTTCTTTTTCCCCCTCCCTGATTCTTGTGCAGACTCTGCTGGCAGAAAGGGATCAGGTCCCAGATTTCCTGCACTTTGGAGCTTCTGTTTGCGAGCTAAGGAGGGAGGTATAGGTAGATGGTTTCACAACACTTGGAGTTTGTGTAAATGAAAATTATGTAAACAAACTATTGTCCTTTGTGTTCTGCCTTTTGCTGCAGACATGGTTTCAGTAGATCCCTCCACCTTCGGCTTACGTTTCTAGCATTGATTGGGATACTCAGCAGATAATTGTCTAGCAGGTGGCAAAGTCGGAACTAATCCATCAATTGGTTAAATTCCACCTAGTTCAAATAATCCTGTTAGTAGTTGTTTTGCCCTTTCAGCAGTCACTTTAATTAATATTCAGGGTTGTGTGGGCAGTCAGGTTTCTGCCCTGCTGAAGCAGGCATTGATTTTTTTTTTTTTTTTAATTTTAAATTAGAATTAGTTTCTAAGGATCTTTCTTATCCCATGTCGAACACATGGAGCAACCTCTCAAAAACTTGCAATTAGTTAATCACCAGCTTGCTTTCTGCTTTTTCTGCCACAACCATCTTGTGCAGTTTTGTCCTTCCCATTTAGAATAGGCTGGTGCTTCAAGGACATGTGCATAAGTAACTTCTGAAATGGATGGGACCCCCCAGGAGAAACCGGTTTCTGTGTGTCTGATCGCAGCTTTAAGTTATAAGAAACAGGGCTTCTTTTGTGAGGGAGAAGACACTTTCACATATAGTATAGGCAAGAAAGTATTTGCAGTATTGTGAAAGCAATTTATTAAACTACTTGAAAATGCAGGACTTCATGCGAAAACTTTGAAATTAAAAGGTCTTCAAAATTATTTTTTTTTCATTTTGTTGCAGAAGAGCATGAAACAAAGTGAATATGAATTTTCTGCATTTGGTGAAGTATCTGCTCAAGTTGAAGAAATCAAGTTGTTCTACTTGATTTCTTCTTGTTTTGGCAGCTTTCTGCTCCCTCAGGCTGGAACAACTCTGTTCTGTTTGGTTTAGTGGCAGAAACTCGGGACAAAATTCTCAAGTTCTCACATTTTTCAGATTCTGAAGAAATGAAACCTAAGTTTTTACTTTGCTTTGAAAGTTCACAGTAGGTAGACTGTGATGTTTGCTAAAGGTGGCCTCTAGAGAGACGTTTCTCTCATGGTTAAATAACTTTGGACTGATTTAACAGGAAGGCAGGAGGCTTTGAGACAGGATTGAGGTTTTAGCAGTGATTTAGAAGCATTTTTAAAGGATGATGTTTCAAAGACATTGTTTCTTTTAAGAAGGTAACATGTTTAACAAATGGGTGAGTTAGAATACAAAGGCAAACCTTTATGAGTTTAGATAGGTAGCTTAGATTAGATAGTCCAGACTCTGGATTTGTCTTGCCTTTAAATTGTTTTTGCAACAGCCCTAAGGTAACGGAAGAGTAACTGGTTTGACTGGCAGAATTTTGGGACAGGGAGCTGATGTCCGTTGCACATTTGCACGCCGCCGCATTGGCCTGTGCGCTGCTGCAAGTTTTTTTGTTTTCTAACGAAGTGCAGTACTAGAGCCTGGAGTTGTCATTTCCTCTTCGCTGGATGCTTCCAGTCCTTTATTGCCTGCCCCATGGCACAGCTTTGCCCAATGAAGTGTTCATTGTAGGTTTTATTAGTATTAAGGCCGCATCAATTGACTCTTGTTGGCACGCAGGGTCAGGCAGGCTGCGGTGTGAGTTAAAAGTTCAGCACGGCCGGCGGGTTCTCGGTCTGTATGCGCAGCCAGGGAGAGACTTGCTTCCTAAGAAGACTCGCTTGAAGTGTCTGTGCAAAGCGCTGGATGAGATGCTTGCCCTGAATCTGCAGCAGCTGATGTTTCTTTAAAATAAATCCTGTAGCGTTGCAGTAGCACCAGATGCAAAGGAACCATGCTTCATATCTGTCATTTTGGTTGGTAAATACATAGTATGGGAACCTGGAAAGATCTCGTGGAGCTTTTTTATTTCTAATAATTTATTCTTAAAATACCTTCTTGCTTTTGCTGTGCTGTACAACAGTGTTTTTGCAGTCTGAGGGAGTGTCTGCATTCTCAGACTGTTCTATGTTCTCCTGCTGTAAGTGGCACGCTCTGCTGACCTCTGCCTCCTTATCTGAAACCTCAGCATGACCCAATCCCTGTTTGTGCTGTAAGGACAGGCACGGCTGGGTTCATCAAGAGTGGAAGCCCCTGTTGCCCAGGGGACAACCCTCTACCTGAAAGAGATGTCAAGATGCAGAATAAATTCACTAAGAATTTTTTTTGGCAGGAAGCAGATCTCGCTTATGGGAACTGCATGGGCTGACGGCCTTTGCCTGTCTTAGGTGAAGCCTAGAGAAATGTGCAGTATTTTTACCAGTGCCAGGTCTCCAGAATATTTAATTTTTTTTCTTTTTTTTCCTCCTAATGTATTCATTCCCCATATCAAATATATAACTGGGGAAGAGGAAAGAACACAAAGGTCAGAACTAAAAGGCCGAAATTGCCCTGAAGTGCCTTTTCCCAGAGCAAAGGTGTGCACAGATTTCACAAACATGGACTGAAATTCATTTTCAAAGGATTCCATCATTCACATATCCAGGTAACCCTCAAATAAGTGGGCTTTTATGCCAAGACCTGCAGATATATTTGAGGAGGTAGCCTGTGAATTCATAGGCATTTTTCCCTCCCCCTAGAGTTCTTTTGGATTTCTTCTAAGCTCCCAGGATTGGCATCAGATTTTTCCCATTTCCAGGGAACAAAATTCAGAGGTGCATTTAAATTCTGAATGCTGCCAACATGTGGGTAATTGAGGTGTAGCAGTGGGTAGTTCTTGGCAAACCCTTGGTTCCTTCCAATGTGAGCTTATCTCTTGCAATTTTACTCTTAAACTTCCTTTCCCTTTCCTTCTCACCTTCTTCCTCACTATCCTGACCATATTAACATGGTGCTAATTTCTTCATTTTCTTTCCAATGGCCATTTTCCCCAGGATAACATTAGCCTATGCTTAACTACTGTTTTTGTTGGGGGTGGGTTTTGCTTTGGCAGATGTTTATTGAACAAAACAAGATGAAAAGGCAAAGTCAGTTGCTTCTGCAAAATTCTGCTCCTGATCAACAGCTTTTGAAGGCTTTGGATGACAATGCTAAGCTAACCCACACGTTAGAAGAAGAGAGGCTTCAACACCAACAAAAGGTAAAACAGAATTACTTTTTATCTCATTCAGAAGTCTTTGAAAACCTCCTGAATTTAAGGAGTGTCATGTATTTTTTCTGTTCAGAATTATTGGAGAACTTATCCCCCCATAAAGCATTCACAATCTAAAAACTAAGTTTCAGAGAGGACTCTGATTCCCTTCTTCTGGGTCACTGGTAAGACACGAGTACAAAACTGGAAGGTTTTTCAGCCTGAAGGTTCTGGTTTAGGTGAGGATTTTATTCTGGATGCCCGTAAAGAGCAATCACAAGCATTAGGTCAAGTTCCATTAAATGAAGGAGAGAGAGCAGGAGAGTATTTTGGACATCGAGTTCACATTTATCATCTGGTCATTTGCTGAAGAACTGTGTCGGGAGGAGCCAGACGTAATGGAGCAGAGAAATGTTAGATGAATGCTGCAGAGTGGTGTGATAGGATCCAAAGTGCTAGGACCTAAACAAATACGTTCTTTTAGACCGGACTAGATCAGTCTCTAACTGGGAGAAATCGCCATTGCTTCACTTGAAAGCCTGAAAACAAGTTTTCGCTTAGCTGTGAGGCTTGTTCTTAAAGCTCTGGCAATAGAGTAGCTCCAGTGATTTCATCAATCCAGGAATACTAAGACTAGATGTAATCTCACATGCTTACGAATGAATATTTTGCGAGAATAATTGTCATAGAAAACTTCTGTGTGCTTGGTTCCTTGAAATCTAAAGCAAAATGTATCTATTTTGGGAGTTGGGAAGTGGCTGCACTTGAATGCTGCCTCTAAACTCAATGTTCCAAATTCACCCACTGGCATCTGAATGAATTGAGACGAGGGAGTTTAAATAACCAGCCTGTCAGTGGAAGCAGTCAGTAAGAGAACAAAAAATGTCGATGTTCTTATGCCCCACGTGAAAAAAATGTTCTGAAATTAAATTCTAATTATGTGACAAAAAGCTCTATAAAAAGAAAAAGGGAACATCTTATAGCATAAGTACTTTGGACCTAAAGATGTGTTCTAGAGAAGAAATAAGTTAGGATAATAACAGAAAATTCTGACATATCTCAGAAAAATTTTTCCATCTCTCATTCAAAAATTGTCCTCTTTCTGGGAGTTGTAGTTCACACCTATACTATAAAATCATGTTTTTCGGAGTAGCTGTGCCTGATGGTTATTTGTCAAAAAGAAGGACAGAAAATACCTTTTATTGTAATAAACGCTGTTGTTTGCCAACTGCAGATCAAAGAATTGGAAGAGCAGTTACAGAATCAAGCACTGCATAAGGAGATTAGTCGTCTTAAACAGCAACTAGAACTTTTGGAAGAAGATAAAAAGGAACTAGAGCTTAAGTGTCAGAACTCAGAAGAAAAAGCTAGAGACCTAAAGCATTCAGGTAAAATCATGTAATAACTTTCATTTTAGAGACACAGTTGGGAGGGTGTGAGTGGTGCACATCTCGTAGAATTATACATATTGCATTTGAGACCCTGGAAGCAACAGCGTTTGTGTAGCCGAGAGTCAGACCTGCACTTCCCAAGACAAAGTACAGAAACTGCCTTCAACCACAGAACAGTCATGTCCAGAACGCATGTAAAAGAATAACCTTGTAAAACTTCTATAAGGTATAAAAATACTGTTGTTAGATTGCATATTTACACGTGAGTGAGTTTCTGTGTAAAAGACACTTATCATGTCTTCCTACCTAGTTTTAAAAAGAAATAAAACAGAATCACTGCGTTTTTCTTTTTTTTTTTTTTGAAAGATGCACAATGGACTCTACATTGTATGAATTGTACAAAAACATCCCATAATTATCAAGCTACCCGACCATATAATATTCTTGCAGTAGAAGACACCAGTAAAAATAAACACATGATAGACATGATTTAGCCCTTCACATTGACATGTGAGAAAACAATTTCTGCTGATATGAGATGTTCTGGGAGGGTGTTTCTCTTTCTTTTTTTAACAGATATTTAAGAGGTAAGTACTGCCTTCAGAGCCCTTTGGGAGTTAGCCAAACAAATCCGGTGGGCTTTTATGGCTCGTGAGAATTATACATGTAAATCTCGTACTTGTAATCAAACATTTTGTTCCATGTCAAGTGACTGACAAAAGAGAAACAGTCTCTCCTGGCTGCTGTGTGTGTCCATCTCTAAGATTGAAGCTAACACCCAAAGAATAGGGGCAGAAAAGATTGGTAGAATTTTCAGGAGGGAACAACTGTTGCAGTGCAGGTGTTCATACAGTTAGAGCTGTCAGGATGGTGCCTGGCTTGTCTGCAGCATCCTGTGTAGTGAACGACGAAATTTGTGACCTAATGCTCCTTATTTAAAATTACTTTTAAAAAGAGGTCCCTGCTGTCCCCCAGGGACTGTGGAGCTGAGGCTGGTTAAGTATTTGCCTTTGCTTTCAGCCTTTGTTCAGCTCAAGGCCTAAGCAGGTGCTAGTTTTAAGTGTGATGCCTGGTCAGAGAAGTATTTGAGCTCCCATCAGAGAAGGCTGAAGTCCCTATCCGTAGTTAAGAGTGCACCTATAGCCACGCTTTTCTGAAACATATCCTTCAGAGCAGGATTATCTTTAAGCTTGTTAGCAGTCTTGCTTGGGAGAACTGCTTTGTGTTAAGAGTTTAACATTACGCCCAGGCAGCACGTGATCTCTTCTCAGTTGCCCTGGAAGAGGTCTGACTTTCAGAGCAGATTCTTACCTTACAGACTCATTTGTCCTTCAGGAGGAATGGGTCAGAATTTTACTCTCAAATTTGAAGTCACTCAGCTGTTTTTAATTTTTTTTACCTTTTCAAATTTAAAAGTGAATATTAAGGATGGTAATTTTAATCCATCATGATGAGAAAAAAGAACCATGTCCACTTTGGAAATCATGATCTGTACTGCTGTAATTCCTACTGTATTCGGAACAATTGCTAAGAATTTTTGGAGCTAGAAAAATCTAAGATTTTTGTGTTTGTTTGTTTCTGCCCTTCTCCAATTACTTGCATTTGACAACATTTCAAGTGCAGAGATGTAATTCTTACATTTTAGATCTGACATGAAGACAGGAGAGAGAGAATCCGTTTTGCCCACCACCCAGTTTTGACCACTTTTATGGGGAAACCCCACACCATGAGCAAGACAGAGATAAGTCTGGAAGCTGAAATTGTTCATTTCTTTAATCTCTCATTAGCTGATTCTCAAGTGCAACCTCAACTAGGCTGTTGCAGAAAGGTGATTAAATTTTTCCCTGCTCTGTCATTTTAAGTGAAGAATCCTGTATGAGCTGGAGTGTCATTTTAGTTTCAGAAGTAACCCAGGTTGGAGGTAGCTGCTTTAATGAGAATTCTGTGCACTCAGTTCTTAGTAGAAAATATTGCCTAAAGCAGGACTTCCTAGCATTGTGTAGTTTAGTTTTGTTTGGGTTTTGGTTCATTTGTAGCTTTTTTTTTTTTTTTTTTTTTTGCTCAAACCTGTGAGCTGGTTTTTAGAGCAGGTATGAGAAACCAAGGACTCACTCTACTTTGTTTTATTGCTCTCGTGCAGTTGATGAACTTCAAAAACGAATCCAGCAGTCTGAAAATCCTGCACCACCGCCTCCACCGCCGCCCCCTCCTCCTCTCCCTCCTCCCCCTCCTCCCAACCCAATACGGTAAGTGCTTAAATCAAGGGTCACAGCATTAATGCTTTGCTGAAGCAGAATGCATTACATGAGCTTGCATCCAAGCAGGAAGACTGCCTTTAAAGGGGAGGGGAAAAAAAAACAAAAAAGGTCTTTCTCCATCTCCTTAACATCAGGACATACTCTGTGCCCCACCTGCCAGCAGTGTGATGCCCCGACTAGTTTTGAGCAGTGTGTGCCTTGCCAAGCTGAACAAATTGTCTAGACTCTGACTTTGGAGGAGGAGAGATACCTGTCTGCTCTAAATTTAGGAGATTTTTTTTTTTCTTTTCACCTGGTAGCTGTAATTACAGACTTCTGAAATACTTGTCTGAATCTACTGTAAGAAAAGCCCTTTGAACCAAAGGATATGTTGGATTACTGTGTGTCCCTTCCTGTCGGGTACTGGTGATGAAAATGCAGGCTCCATTGAATTCCCACAATTGCTTTCATAAGTTGAAAGAATAAAAAAGCAAAGCAGAAAATCACCACCTTATCATCAAGCAGTTTGGGGTGAAATTATCAAAATTAAGCCTCGTTTTTGCAGAGGACTGTAAAAGAGGCTCACCAGACATTAGACCCAAATTAATTAACTGAGCCCTGAACTGTGCTTAGTTAATTCTGGGAACTCGGCTGATGTTCATGTCTTCTGCTTGGTTTTAAAAATTTGTGGACTTGATGCTTTCTAACCTTCTGTAATAAGAATTACATACAGAAGCCTTGTTAACTACTGCGTGAAATATATGGATAGAGATTATTAGTGGGGAGAATTCATTCCTCTGTATGTCTTGCTTTGGTTTTAGAAATCTGAATGTTTTCTGAACAATTGTTTGGTCTTTTAGATCTGTTAACTCGTTTGGCTTGCTTGCTTTTTCCTCACTAGTAGCGTGGATTAACTGTGTGTGCGTCTTGTGGTTTCATGGTTGTTTCGGGGTTTTTTGGTTTATTTAAGTTTGTGCCCTTTACTATCTGGCATAGAAAACACTATTTGTTTTAAGCCCTGTAGTGGCTAAATTGGAGCATTTCCTTTGTGCATCGTGATGTTTGTGTGCACGGAGGTTGTTTCAGAGCCTGGGTGGTAGATGCTGCATTTTTCTGGGACAGAGTGTTGACTCTTGATATCAAGGATGTTGCTCTGTACAGAACAATGTTCAGTGGGGAGTGATAGGCCCCACTCACACATCAGACGTGCTTTAAAATTAATCATTTGCTTGCCTGGACTTCTGCGTTTTGACTATAGGGAAGGGGTGATTATTTGACAGTGTAAGAAGATTACAAACTTGGAGTTGGTGAGGAGAAACTGATCACCAAATTTAAGTGCCCTCTGGAGAATAATACTTCAATATCTACAGCTCTTATTTTCTTCTATTATGCCAGAGCAGCTTCAATTTGTCATGTGTCACAATGAGACACTGTCTTTTAATATTCAAATCTAGAGTGTTTTGATTTGTGCTTAATATCTGTTAAAAAGAAATAAATTTCATGGGTGCATTTTGATGAGAGGCATTGTGGGGGGTAATTCAGTACATACATCTGCTTTCTAGAAGTGTTTAAATGATTCTTTTGTAAGTAGCTGTATAATCAGGTATAAGCAAGCTGCTCATGTGTCACGTTCAAGTTCATTCTAACAGTGTGCAGTACAGGACAGAGTGACAATCTGCAGTTTCATTTTCCCCAAAGGTCTCTCATGTCAATGATTCGCAAGAGATCTCACTCCAACACCAACGTGAGCAAGAAGGTTTTTTTGAATCAGGTATGGCTCATCCTTTCTCAAGTGAAGCGGATTATTCACTGGGTACTGCAGATAAAGCAAATGAAAATCAACAGTGGGTACAGACAGTGATGCAAATGCTTAGAGGTGTCAACATCGGCTGCTGCTGTCCATGTCCCAGCATGTTCATCTGCCTCACAGTCCAGAAATGTGACTGTGGCCCAGGTGTGTGTGCTCTGAGGTAGGAAGTGGTATCTTTGGTGCTGTAGCTTTGGTAGTGCTGTGAGGAGCAGCCGAGGACTTTGTCTGGTCTGGAGAAAAGGAGGCTGAGGGGTGACCTCATGGGTCTCTGCAGCTTCCTGAGGAGGGGACGTGGAGAAAGGAGGTGCTGAGCTCTTCTCCCTGGGATCCAGTGGCAAGACGTGGGAATTGTTCAAAGCCGAGTCAGGGCAGGTTCAGACTGGACATTAGGAAGTATTTGTTTGCCAAGAGGGCAATCAGACACTGGAACAGGCTTCCCAGAGAGGTGGTCAATGCCCCGAGCCTGTGAGTATTTCAGAGGCGTGTATAGAATTGTAGAGCTGTTTCAGTTGGAAAAGACCTTCTAATATCATCAAATCGAAAAGGCGTTTTGACAGTGCCCTTAACAACATGCTTTAACTTTTGGTCAGCCCTGAGGTGGTCAGGCAGCTGAGCTAGGTGATTGTTGTAGGTCCCTTCCAGTTCTCCTTCTTTTCTATTCTACTGCAAACTTCCCCGAGATCCCTAGCAAATTTGTGTAGCCCTCGTAGACATCTGTGCCTCCACAATGGAACTGGTGATGAGCATTTATTTTCTCCACGTGGATTTTAATATGAACAATCTTTGAGGCTGCGGATCAAAAACCTTAAGGGAAGACCTGACGCTGTAACTGAAGAAAAGTTCTAATCTTCCTGCTTCTGGCTGTAATGCTTCTCAGACACATCACTGAGCTTTTTTCATTCCTGATGTGACAGGAAAGTGATCTTTATTTTTTTTTTTTTTCCCTTGGGGAGAAGGGTGTTCATGTTTCTTATAGGCTCACAGAAGTTGGATGTGGTCCTGTGCTGGGTGAGAGGGACGGGGAGAACAGGGTGGTTCCCTTTAGGCTCCGAGCTTGTACAGTGACTCTGTGCAGCTTGGTACTACCTGCAGCAGTTGCAGTACAGCAGCACTGAGAGGCTCAGCCTGTACCTCTAAACTGGAAACACTACGGTGTGCAGCTGCAGCTATGGTATGTCCGGGGCTTTGCACTTCCCCAGTTTGTCTGGAAGAGGCAGAACAAACCCAGCAAGCTTCAAGCAGAGAGCAGGTTATATACAGCGTAATGCAGGGAAGTTTCCAACTTCTAGACGGCTTCTTATTTGTGATTTCTTCTGTCCAGAGCCTCTCTGCAGAGCTAGTTTGTCAAATGCTTCAGTTTTCATCCCTCAATCCATATCTTGTGAAATTACCACTCGGAGTTGGCTGTAATGCTAATCCTTTAATAACACTGAAAACCTGAAACAAAACAGAATCTTGCCCTGAAGTGGCTCTGCACGAAAAGTAACAGGTGAAATTGCATTTTCTTGTTGTTAATGGAAGCTGGAAACTTAGTAGGTTGAGAACAGGAGTTAAGTACAGATTTACAAATGATCACGCGTGCCTGAAGAATCAGAGCTAGTTAGGCAAGCATTGCCAGTTAAATAACCAAGGTTTTTCTCACTATTTCTCTCTTCCTTCAGAAGCAGCAGGATTCTATTTGTAGTGAATTGCTTAACTCATTTGCTGCCACTTAAACAAAGAAGGGGACTGCAGAAGGGAACCTGGCTGAAATTATAGGTATAGGATATAATCGTTGAAGACAAAAATCGCTGTTAGCAGGCTGTAATGGTATTTAAGCATGGCTGGATTGTTGGATGGAACCAATAGGAAGAAAGTGGGGGAAAGGAATTATTACCCCTCCTGTTTTACAGGTGAGGAATGGGGTCACTTGGGCAGGTCGATGGAGGAGTCTTTGGGAACTGGTTACCAGTCTGAGGTAACATAGTTAGAGAAGTGACCTTGTACCGAGATCTCTGATGAAGAGTCCCTGGTACCTTTCAGCAAAAGTTCAGTTATGTTGCCTTCATTTATCCAGTTTCCTTACTTTGAAGCATCCTAAATGTTTTGATTGCACCTTTTTGTTGAGACTGTTACAGACAGTGATTGCAAGAAATACTATGAAATTCACTGTAAGTTCTCTACACCCTATTCTTTCATTATTTATTAGCAAACTTTAACAGTTCTGACCTTTCTTCAATCACATAAAAACTGCTGCTTCTCTTAGGAGTTGAGCTGTTCTTAAAATAAAAAAGAGGGAAAGTTCTTTCTTTATCTAGTCATTACATCCAACTTGAGGGTTGTTTTGACCCTCGTTAAGAACTTGGAATGAATGGTTTCTATCCCATACCACCAATTAAGCTTTTATAGTTGAAACAGCCTGTTTGTGAAATTAAAGCCTGACATTAAATTGGCCTATGGTACAGAAACTGCATTTCTATGAATCATCAATAGTACCCTGACAAGTGAGAGAGCGAAAGTCTATTTAAAATTCCTGTTACATAAGGTACAATGTTGCAGCTTTGTCAACCTTATTCTTCCGTGTATTTGCTTTAAGTACTATTTTTCTCCCTTTTTGGTATGGGACGTTCAGTGTCTTTTGTTACATTACCCAGGTATCGTTCAGTTTTGTCACACAGCTTCCCGTTTCATCTGAATATTTTGCCGCCCTGATGCTGAGACTCTTGAAAAAGTGTTGCCTTTCATGGTATTTATGTTTGACCCTTTAACTCGATGCAATGTTCTTTAAATGTGTGGTTTGAGTTCAGTCTGAGATGTTGGTCTGTCGTTCCCACGAGGTTCTCAAACCTCTGTGAAATACCAGACACCCTTGGCAGTCTTGGGATGAGCTGCACACAAGCCTCACCACGGGCTGTTATCAGCTGCTCCTGTGTCAGTGAAGCTGTGGAACTTTGTGCTGGGACAAAGAGAAGCGATACAGTGGAAGTGGCGCGGTATTCTTCAGTCCTTGGTGCTCCAGCCTGTAACACTGAATTTTTGCAGCTCTCAGTTAGAGGAACTTCGAGTTTTTCAAGGATCTGGGCCCCGCTTCTGTCTAAACTTCTGCAGTTTGGCGTTTGCAAAGGCCGTGGCTGGATCCTCAATGTGTGCAGGTTGGCATTTCATCCTTGAAGAGCTTGTGGGAGGTTACCTGCGAGCAGAGATCGCTCGTACTGCTGTATGCAGAAACCAGGGCTCCTGATAGGTAGAGATGAAGTAATCTAGAGGTGTATGTGGTGTAAGGCAACGTGCCTCTTCGTGGTGGGGAAAATGAAGAATAAGACAGGGGTCTGTAAGAAAGACCCTGTGAACAGCCCACTTATGGAGAGAAAAATCAGCCTGTATGTTTATGCTTATAATTATTACATTTTGAATGAAATTAGGCAGTATATGAACAATATGCATCACACATACAGGCAGGAAGACTTGCTGTGTGGAGTATAACTAACTACATTGTATATATAAATGCTATTTCATCATTAAAACTAATTTATAGTAACTGGCTGTATATGCAAACAAGCTGTTTAGAGGGCTGCTTGTTTAACATGGTTTTTTTTTCCTTGGTACTATTTGTCTGTAGTTCGTATCTGGAATGTGGTGTGCTCTTTGTTTTTTGGAACAGGTGAAGAAGTTACAGACCTGAAGAGACAAGCTGTTGAAGAAATGATGGACAGAATTAAAAAGGGAGTTCATCTGAGACCAGTCAACCAGTCAAGCAGGCCTAAAACAAAGGTTTGGAATAAATAGCAGAGCAATAATATCAGCTAAGGACAGTAACTTACACTGAAAATAAATCAGGCTTTCTGTAGAACATTCCAAACGATGCATTTGTCTCGCGCTTTAATTGGTTTTGAATAAAGTGAGTTAGAGCAGCATATATATATATAAAGAGCTGAAAAAGAAGTGAAGCCAGCAGTAAGTGAATAGAAGCCCAGTTTCTTTGACACAGAAAGAAACTGAAAGTAAACGTCTCATAAACAGCTACTGAGAATCAAAAAGCAGAGAGAAAATAACTGAACTGGGTAAAGGGGATGGTCAGGAAGTAGACTGCATTTAGCAGTATTTCTTCCTTTTTATGCAACACTCACTGCTAATGCCTGAACATGGCTACTATAAAATAGTGCTTACGGTGTTCGCAGAACCAGAGTCCTCCTTATGTATAGACTGTGATTCACAGTGTTGAGAGCTGTGGTGAGACTCTGTCCTTCATCTGTATAAGAAACCAGATCAAATGTTAGCCAAGTGCCCAGGAGAGGAGAGAGCGGAGTAATATAATACCCCCCCATGCCTGTGCAGTCAGACCCTCGAGCGACGTCTGTCTTCAAGTACAGAGTGTGTCGTGGTCCATTTGAGGTGTGTTTTAACATGCATGTGTTGGTTTTTTTACAGCCAGAAACACCAAAACCCTCTGAAAGTGCAATGAAAGAATTAAAAGGGATTCTGGTAAGAAGACTTGTAGTTTATATTTCATTTTTTTTCTTCTCATTTTGCTGGCAGGGCCTTTTGTGCAAAACAGCTGAGTATTTGGAACTTCTGCATCAGTGTTTTGGTTTGAAGCTGTAGCGCAGTTTTGTTATGGATTCCCCTCATTCCACTTCTGACTTTGGTCCAGTTGAAAGGTTGACCTTGGTCTTGCTAACAGAGTTTATTTTTGGAGAAAACTAGCCTGTTTACTCTAGATTTGTATGTTCCTGCCACTAGAGGGAATGTTACCATCTGCACCTGCCATAGATCCTTTGGAAGCTTTCCCAGTACTCCCAGTTGGGATGCTTAGCAAGGGAGAGGTGGCTAAATATCTCTAGTCCAAAGTAAAGCCCCTGAACTGCACGTGTAGCACTTGTAGGGTTCTCTTTAGCAACTTTTCTGAACTGCTCTCTCCTGAGGCGCCAGATTTCTTGTTAAAGTAGACATAGCCTAAACAGAGCAAGAGCTCTATAGTCTGTCTGCATTATATGTAGAAAAAGAATATTTTGAATAGCTGTCCACATACCCATTTATCGCTAAAGGAAAACATTAGTTGTGTATTTGGTCCAGAGCAATGTGCTAATGTTGCTCCTGTCCAGTCCTTTACTCATACATTACATCGCTTATTTAACAGGCTGCTGCTTTTGCACAGGTTCTAAAATTGTATCAAACAACCAGCAGGAGCTGTAATTCTTGTTCCCTGCCTCCTGTGACCCTGAAGCTTTTAAAGCTGAAGTGCAGCTATGGCACATCAGGTGAAATTTTGCCTTTGTAAGATGAAATATGGTGAAATTCTGCCCCTATTGAAGCAAAATGCTTCGCATCCACTCTGCAGAAGGTAAGGTTGGCCATTCTCATCATCCCTGATAACACCTGAACAGCCCTTGTAAAAATAACTTCAGTATTGTGTTGGGTGATGCAAGACAGTACAAAAAGAGTATAGAAACAGCCTGTGCTGAGGTTTCAAATCATGACTGTGGCCCCAACACCGCGTTAAACTTGCTCTTCTCCAGTCACGTGAAAGCAAGGGAAGAAGGGAAGAAATGATCTAGAGAACCACCAGACCTTAATGCTGAGCTCTAATTAGAGGGACACATTATGAACCTGAGGGTAGATAGAAAAAGATTAAAATGTAGCACTGACTTTATCTTTTAAGCAGAACTCCCATAATTACAGGAATAGTTTGGTGTCGTGTGCTGTTTGGCCCAGCGAGGGTCTGCTGAAGGTCCTTTTGTTTTCTAGTAGCTGTTTTATTTCTCTGATGCTGTGTCACTGACATCAGGGACGACTTGATTATGTACTTCAGAGGGAGCAGAGAGAAACCTACAGTCACTGCACTTCTGTGTCATGCTTGTTGCTTTTGAGCCCTTTAGGATATTTGCAGCATAAGACAAACTGTATAAAACCCAATTCCAGTCTGTTCTTGAGACCAATCATTATGCACAGTCAGACAACAAACATGGGAGTGGGGTGTGATGGAGTAAACATTTGTTGTTACTATGCTAATTATGCATCGCACGTAGACCTCCTGATAATTGTTACAAACAAAACACATTTGTGTTCTGCAGATGCAGACTTTGTGTGGCTCCATTGCTCGAGTTGCTTTCATGCATGTACATTTGTATGGATCCAGAGCGTACAGCTGATTAATAGTGTACCCACTGAGTTACATTTGAAATAGTTTCCAAAGAAAATACTACAGTTTTTGAGTGGAGGTGAAGAGGTAGAGTTACTTTTCTAGGATCCTGAAAGTAGCACAACTTCTGCAGCTCGTGATGCCATTTCCTTTTGTCATTTGCTATTTCTTCTCAGAAATGACATGCTTATAAGAATATGGTATTGAAGCTCTGGAAAACTGGTATTACAGGTCTGACATGTTTTGGAAAGCTGAATAAACAGGATTCCTAGGCATTCTTAAAGATGGCAAGACTCAGAGGGAGAATGAAATAGCGTATGAGTCATGTATTTTCAGTTGCATTATAAAAATTTTGGGGAAATTTTGCAGTCAAGTGAGTGCTGATCCGTAACTGAGTTTCTTCAGTTGGGAAATGCATGTGGTATGCACTAGGTACACATTAAATTCCTGTGGGCAAATTTGGGAGGTTTCAGCCTTTGATTAAAGCCTTTTTTTCCTCCTTACCCTTAAGAAAAGTGCTGCTGGACTTGCAGCTTTGCTGACACGAAATGCAAACCTTGGCATGAGGCATTAATACCATGCATTTCTGTTTTGTGTGTATAAAAAAAATGTTTCAGCTTGAGATCTCTATGCTTAAGGAAAACCATGAAGTATTTGGACATAGGGTCAGGTTTATGGCAGATCAGATGGACTGCAGGATCTAATAACATGCTGCGGTTGCACTCAACTTCTGCAGCATGTTGTTATGTGTGTACACACAGGATCATGCTAAAATACAAAACGTGATGGACCACTAAAATATGATTTTAAAATAAAATATACCATATTATTTTTGCCCTAAAATACGTAAAATCTTTGGCTTTTTGCTAGTAGAGGTTAATTATGGACGTGGTAATGCTCTAGCAGGGTTTTAAGATCCTTTAAATGTTATGATGGAGGAGGTTGGCAGTTCTCTGCAAACGTCACAGTTTGTCCATTAGTGAGCCAGAACATCTTTCTTGAGCCCGATACCAACCCTCTCATGTGCAGGTAAGTGTGGTTAATCCCTCCATTGGGAAAACCAAGTAGGGTGAGGAGTGGTGAGCACTCGCTCTTGTACTAGTGGAAGAGCTTAGCACACCAGTCTAGAACCGTAGTTGTTTTTCAGCTGTTTAAAAAGTTCTCATGTCGCGCCTGCGTGTCGAGAGTTAGGGCTGAACCCAGGACACTATGGGACGTTTGGCAAAGCGTAATGTGTCCTCATGGAGCTTTCCATGCCTATTTTTTTGCTGTAGGAAACATTGAATAAATCCACTAGTTCCCGAAGCTTGAAATCCCTTGAAACAGACAGCAGTGAAACAGAGCTGGAACGAGTTCTGCGACGCCGGAAAGTAACCACTGACCAGGACAGTGGCAGTAAGTGGTTGGACTCCTCTGTCGTCCTCTTCCTCTCCCTGTGTTAAGGGACTCTTGAAGCTTTACTTTCTCTTCCAGGCCATTGTCATTTCAGCCATTACGGAGAGCCCTGCTTACCTCTTCAGTGACTCACATTCCTGCCGCAGCTGTCACTTTTCATCCTTATTTTATCCAAGAGATGCCTCTGTCAGGATTTTCTGTGCACACAGCCATATGCACACAGGTTCTTCTGTCCTTCCTGGAGCTCAGACACTGTTATTGGGGTTAATAGCCTGAGCCTGCCATGAAAATATTCTTGAAAGTAGTGGTAACCAGAGAAATGAGGGTTTAGGACCAATGTTTTGAATTAACCTCTTCTGCAGGAGAAGGGTGTGCAGTTTTTAAGCTACGCTTCGCTATCATTGTCCTCAACAAATTGTTGTTCTGCCTGGTTAGAAACACATTCTGTGCAAGTGGAAGTCCACGCCATAGTCCATGCAGGTGTGGCTGGTTTTAATGTCACTGTGTGGTTTTAGTTTGGATGTTTTAGTTTGGACTTTGAAGATAGGCAGATCACTGACTGCTCATGAGTATGAGAACGGGCTGTGTTGTCTCGTACTGATGAGGATGAGAACTGATGAGGATGAGAACGGGCTGGCTCTTGCTCTGGCTGTGCTTTGGGCTGGGGGAGCCCTGGCGAGGTGGCACTCGGCAGCGCCACGTGGGTGCTGGGACTGACCACCCTGGAAGGCAAAGGGAAGGACTGTGACCATATAGCAAAGCACTGCCTGCGGTACAAGAAAGGGTTAATCTTGGTGAGGAGAGCAGAAGCCACAGTTACTGTATTTTGGTAGCCTCTGTGCACTGGATGCTGTTCTCTAAAATCCCGTTTCGATCTCTGCGATGAGCTTGCATTCTGCTGTGCTTGTGTGTTGTTTCTAGACCTGTCAGTCTGGATAACAGAAGTGTGAAACTTTCTTTATGTTTTAGGTCCCACTGGAATCTTGGCCACATCAGAATCAAAATCTCTGCCTGTGCTAGGTTCGGGAGCCAGTGCCACACAAGCAGCCTTGAACAAGAAAGACCTGGAGGCAGAATTCAGTTCCAAAGTACCCAACTCAGGTCCTGTCTCTAACCAGCTCGAGGGTGTCATGGGCTCCAAGCCTACCTTGCAGTAAGTAGAACATGGATTTCTAGATGTATTTTAGTACCAGATCTGTTTAGCTGGTGCATTTTGACATTGATTTAATATCAATTTTGATTAACGGGGTAAGTGAACTGGCTGCAGCTGTTTACCACTGAGTCCTCAAATAATTTCCTCACATAGAGGTAGAAAATGAAATCGTTGTAATAAGGTTCTTGTCTGTGAAATCGGTGAACATTCTTCCAAAAAAAAAAAATCATCTTCTCTGCCAAAGGAGGAGAACTCAGGAGCTTTTGAGGATTAGCAAAGCTGGGGGTTTTTTTAACATGTCCTGAAGAAGGATAGTTATATAGTTAACCATTGATTTTTTTTTTTTAAGTAGTTCTAACACAGTGTTTAAAAAAGTAGAATCATGTAAGTCATATTGGTCTGTGTGCAGGTGCACGGGGCAGTTTCTGATGGACCAAAACCAGTCCGGACTATTGATCCTAAATGTTTGTTGGTAAAAATTCTGAATTACTTTGAAATCTCAAGATTAAGATTGTTAAAAAAATAAATAAATATATAGTTGATGCTGCATTTGCACAGGTGGGTAGAAGAATCATTCGTGATGACAGATTGAAGACCCAAGGTGCCAGTGAAGCATCAGAGAGTTAAACCTCCTTCAGAAATACTTATTTCAGACAGATCCTATGGAGGATTGGTTTGTTTCACAACAATACAGAGCTCCTTTTGAAATTAGGCTGTGCACTTGCTTCAGTTCCCTTGCCAGGTTGTTTGTCAGTTTGTCACTTCAAGAAGAGGAAACAGATGAGACGGATCAGCAGAATATTGTAATCATGGCTAATTAAACCTCTGATTTCCTGCTTTGTCAGTTAAAAAATACCAGCAGTACCGATTCTAGCAAGTCTCCATTGCTTAGTTCAAAGGAGTAAGTCACGACAAATGAGCTGGAAATTCAGTTCACATCTATTTTTGTGAACTGATATTTACTTTGCTCCTCTGCGGGTACTTCTGCCATTTATTTTTAATCAGTGAAAAGCCCAATTTTCTTTTGTGTTCTATGCTTTTATTTAATTCACACCAAGTTTTAAAAGCAGAATGCTTTTTCCAGTCATATATATTTTCTCCTTCTGTTTCACTTAAGTATCCTTAGAAGAAAGATGATCTTCATTTTAATTTAATCATAAGGATGAAGCTTTGTTCGACAGTTAATTTGACATGAGTAATGTAGTTGCATTTTCTTGAACTGCTACCCTGACAGGAAGGTGAGGTTGTTCCTGAAAAATACTGTTTTCAGTTTGTGGATTTCTACAATTTTGAACAGATAACCTTAATCAGAAAATACAGCAACTCCTACCACCTTTTGTCTACCTTTATTCCAGCAAACTAAGTGGAAATTGCATTTACAAGAAAGGAAATGAAATAATTGCAGGCCCCAAGGTCTCGCAGAATGCGTGGTGAATTGACAGTGAAAAGGATCTTGTGTTGACAGTCACAGTTGTTATGTGTTATAAAAGCATATGTGAAGCTCAATTTAATTCTCAGCTTGCCTATTCGGTGACATCCTAAAAGACACACTTAACTTTAATTTATCTGTTTAAAGCATTAAAACAAATGTGTTGGGCCGGATTCCTTAGTGCTGCGGGGTTTCTTTGCACCGAGTCGCTGGTGTAACCCTGCTCGATTGGAGAGGCTCGTTGCTGAGGATGGTTTTCTCGTGAGAGAGAAGGTGCTGGGGCTCTCGTACTCTCCTGCCGCTGCGCTGGCAGGGAGGAGCAGAAGTAACCTGGGTGCTCCATGCCATGTTTACATGCAGTTACTTAATTTATTTCTTTTTCTCCTGAGTGAGAGTTGCAGCAAAGGTTAGTAGAAACAAGCTCCTGTCTCCAAGGTGTGTAAGCGCTGTTTTGAAACACTGCTCACGGGACGCAGGTGTCAGAAGGCAATCCATTCGCCTAACACGTCTGACAGCATGGCTCTGTAATTTGGCAGTTTTCTGGGCTTCCCTGGGTTCATGTGTACTAGGGGTTCAGTCCCCATTCGGTGTGCTTTTGGGTTGTACACTGGTGCGGTCTCGGTGCATAGGCTGGATCCCTGGATTCACTGGATGAGTGAAACTACGGCAGAAGATGTGACCCAGCCTTTTGGTGGCTGCCTCAGAGGCCACGTAAGAGCCAGTTCAGCGAATACCCCCCCTAAAATGCAGGTTATGAGGACCCTGCTCTGAAGCACGGGCTGTTTCCCCCTGCACGTCTGCTCCTGTCGCGGGGCACCTCTTCCTGAAGCACACCGTGTTAACTAAATGAACGGTGTGCTGTTTGACCAGGTACCCTAAACGACAAACACATACAAAAGGTTTATTGTGGTGGCTCTTCTCCTCATTCATACCTGAGGTAAAAGGATGCAGCTGTCTCATCATCTGCGATTCCTTGAAATCTGACAAAGGTGTCACCCGCTTCAGCTGTTTGCAGCAGCCAAGCAAACCTTTTGTAGCTCGGCAGAGGATTGCACATCTCGTAATTACTGGGTGTCGCTTTCTTCACTTAGATTTTAATGTACAGCTTCATATAGAAAACCTTGGGAGTAGATGTGCATGAGAGATTTCTCTTTGCTGTGCCATCAATTTGCTAAGACTTGTAATCTGGAGGAGGAGGTAATACAGACATCTAAATGCAAACAGGCTTATTCATCATTCTTTGTTCACACTGAGCAACAGTTGAGCATACACGTTCTTATGGAGAAAGAAGGTCACGCGTTTTGAAAAAGAGACAGTCTTGGAAATGTGTCTGTGAAATACTTCTTTACCGTGAGGGTGCCGGAGCCCTGGCACAGGCTGCCCAGAGAGGTTGTGGAGTCTCTGTCTCTGGAGACTTTCAGACTCTGCCTGGACACGTTCCTGTACAATCTGTGCCAGAGGTTCCTGCTCTGGCAGGGGGCTTGGACTAGATGATCTTGAGAGGTCCCTTCCAACCCCTGACATCCTGTGATTCTGTAATATGTGGACAGAAATCAGCTCATTTTACTCAGCTGAGGAGGATCCTGGATCCTTCCCACCCCCAAATCTGTGAAAATCTAACCTAAATATGCATGGGGTAGGGAGTTCCAGTTGTTGGTTGAAGTCAGACTGCACACATAGTGTGGTTAAACGCTACCAAAGCACCGGCCTCCAGCTGAAGCGAGTGGCCAGCAGAGGGTTTGTGGAAAAGGGCTGTAACGTTGACAAATACAGGTTGATCTTGAAATTTTCCTGTCATCAAACTAAGTGATGATAGCTCCAAGAAATGAATCCAGAAGACAAATTTGGATTTCGAACCACCAGGTGGGTTGTTATTCCAGCGCAGGGGCTCTGAGGCCGTTAGGCAGATACTGGGAATGTGTGAGGTTTTTGCTGAGGTGGTGCTGAGGGGGAAGACACCGGTAATGGGCGTCCTATTGAGGAATCGAGGCCTTACCTCGGTGTTCAGGTAACTTCCTCTGCAAATTTCCCAAATGTTTAACACAGCGTGAGTGTAATGCCGTGACAATTCCGTGGAAGAGAATAGGTGACAATTTAGTTCCCTTGGGAGCAGAGAGAGTTCCTGTGCCTCCCTGCAGTGTGGAGGCACAGAAGCAAAAGGTATGTCTGGCTCTGCCTCTGGGCTTTTTGGGTGTTTTTTTCCCCAGTGCTTTGTAACCATTTTGCTTCTGGGCAGCAGAGTTCTCCAGTAACAGAGAGAACCACAGAGAGGGTTAGTCTTAATCTGATGATTTGTACAATTAAAGGATTTGTCCTCTTTCTCCTGGCTGTAATCTTAGTAGAATCATCTACCAGCTCTGCGGGAAGCAGCTTGGCCTCAGCCAGGCAGAGCTGCAAAGGTTTTTCCGCTGCAGCTTGAACGAGAGCAATTTAGTTTGAACAACAAATGAAGAAAACAATGGGATGTTCTGGAAGTTTGAGGTCTCCTCAGTTTTAACTGTTTTAAAAGCTACTGTCGCACATTTTTCTTAGAGCGTGCTTTTCGTGTCCTCTCTTAAGATTCTTTATTTAAATATTTTTCTTAGAGCGTGCTTTTCGTGTCCTCTCCCAAGATTCTTTATTTAAATGAATTTGCCCATCTTCTTGAGCATTTTCAAAAAAGCACCTAAAAATGGGGGCGATTTCTGCACTAAAGATTGCCTGCAGTTCTGTTCTGCTTGTTGCGATGCTCACCTCCTTTCTACTCGGCTCGAGTTAGTAGTTTTTTGAAATGGAGAAGGCTTCGTGCACTTTCTTCACAGGTGCCTGGTGTTGTAGATAGTGCTGGGTCTGTCAGAGGAGGGAACCAACAGGCTAATTCACTAGTGTCACTGTTTGTATTCCCTGTAGTTTCTTTTTTGACAATTTCTTGTTGGTTGAAGACTTTCAGGATGACGGTCAGATGCAGGACAGCCAGACAAGCTCTCCTGGCATGGCAGTCTGGAAAGGACATGGAGATCGGAGTATGAGCTTTATCGCAGGAGTGATGTTTGCCCTCAGTTACGGAGATCTTGTAGCGAAATGGGAAGTCTGGGTCGGAGTGGGCAGTCGTTAGGTGGGTAGCAAGCTCTGCTTGCCGTGCAGGCAAGGGGTATGAAGAAGCAACTGGTGGTGAGCAAGTGTCAAATTAGCTTAGTGCTTCCAATTTGTGGTTGGACTCGATGATCCCAGTGGTCTTTTCCAACCTAAATGATTCTATGATTCAATAAAATCTCATCTTCTGGGGAGTAAGGAATAGCACTGGTTGGGTTTTATTTTGGTCTTTGAGAGCAATTTTGCCTTGAGGACAGGTGACAACTATTTCACCATCCTAGATTAGGGATATCGCTGAAGGATGACGTGTAATTTGATGCCACATTAGTGTCATCTTTTGTATCTGAAATTACTCTCTACTGTCTCAGATTCCAGCCGGAGTATCTACGTGGAGTCTCCAATGCTTATACAATGCCTTGCAAAACCAGTCTTGGAATAGATTTTTGCTGGTATTTCCTAAAAATGCTGTAAAAAAACTCCACAGTGTTTTCCCTGAATGGTTTCCTTAAGTCTTCTGCTTTTACATATAGTTAGAAAATTGGATGGGACTTAATCCAGTAAAAATTTACATGATATTTACACAAAATTCTGGTTTCTAATGGAAACATATGACATGATTTCATGAATAGAGCACTGAGCAAGGTTAAGTAACACCAGGATTATAATATTAACCACAGGAAACAAAGAAAATCCAACTCTTGGTTGACAATCTGATCCTTAGTTTGTCCTTTTGTACTCCTCCTGTAAATTATTTACAAAGAGCACAGCAGTACTAGTATGCAGACGGCCTGTCGGGCATAACCCCTTATTTTACCCCTTCTGTAACTACATAAATAGAACATTCTGCTTTTGATACTTCTATACCGCAGGCAGCCGTCAGTACCACATGGGGCTTTGCATATCCCATACAATTAAAGTGCATTTATCATATAAATCTGGATTTCACAGATTTGATGTGTTTAGTCCTAAAAATGTATGCAGACTTCTGAACAATTATGTATGAATGAGTACAATAGAACTAGATTCTCAATTTCTGGCTTAAATATAGAGTTGGACAAATAACACGAATACTGATAACAACATTAATGGTCTTAATGAGGGAAGAGCTTTGCACAGAACCAAATGCAAATACCTTGGCTGGACACATTTGTTCAAAACGTTGACTGTGTCTCCACTGATTGTATTTCTCAGCTTTATTTGTAGCAGTAGAAACTGTTTTTTGAAAGGGAGCACCAAAATTACGTTCATTCTTGCACTGGAACTTTATTAAGCCTGCATTCTGCTCTGGACAAACTATTGAAAATGGGCCATGAATACCTGATAAACAGGGTTAATAATTTTTAACACTGCCTCAGCTGTAACAGCAGCACTGTCAGGCTGGTGCCGCAACAGTGTAAAGGATTTGAAGAAGGGGATGTTAGTACAACCAAACCTGAATAGTAATTCTTATTTTTATGCTTGAAACGCTGATTTAATCACTGGTTTTCTCCATTAAACTGCTTTATATCGACATCTTTCATTTTTCTGTCCTTTGAAGGTGGTAAATATGATTGCCATTTTATCCATTTTTGTTATAAATGAAACAGACTTCAGAGCGTTGGCTGTGCATCAGTTGTTGGAATGCTGCCATGCACTAATGCAGACTCCCCACTGTGAGCCCAGTGAAGAATTATACTTTGATTCACCAGATTGTATTAAATAGTCCAGCTGTTGGGATTTGAAAGATAGTTGCCTCCAAAGTGAAATAAAAATGAACTTGGCATTTATGGCTTTGACCATTTTTATAGTGTTGGGCAATCAGCTTTTCAGAGGTAGCACTTTTAAAAATAACCCTCTTCTGGTTACACCGCTTTAAAAAGTTTAATTTGCTGTAACGTTCAAAATACCCCACCTTGTGTTTCTGGAATGATTGGCAACTTTTGCATAAAATAAACATTATTTTCCTTCTGGAATCACTAGCTTCTGATGATAATCAAATGAGTCTGAAACTGTATCCATTAGCGCCAATCTCCACATTAATTAACTTATAGTAAAGTTTTAATGTTAGAGACAATTCTTGTAATTAAAGCTTGAACGTGGGATTTCATTTGCTGCGTCCAGTGTTTCAGCAGCAAGCTGAGTAAATTCTTTCTGAAATGGAAAGTGCAGCAACTGTTGTTTCTGTGATTATTTATTTGGTTTCAGCCTGTACATTTACTCTCTTCCTGTCAGGTGGGAGCCGGCACATTCTCTACCCCCCACTCTAATTGTTGAGTGGGGTGACCTCTTTCTTCTTGGTCATTTTCTGTAGGACAAAGACTGTCACAATAAAGGGCAGTTCGTAGCAGATGGATCCAGTAGCTGAATTTCTTTCTCTGGCCTCCAGTTGATTCCACTTTTTCCTTCCAAGGGTGTTACCTTAGCGGTCTGGAAGGCCATTCCTTATGAGTAAGCACGAAAAATTAAATTAAATGAAAAAAGACTGGACTAGCAAATGTAGCAGCTCTGCAGTTCTGCTGTCCAGGAGAGCAGAGCCGTGCACCCGCTGCTGCGTGGAGCGCGGGAAGGTCCTCAGGATTTGTGTGTTTGTTCGGTGGCTGGAGGTGTTTGGGTGCTCACACCAGGGAGTGAGGCCCCGTGTGTGCCTGCCTGGGGCCATGCCCGCGGACACTGGGTCCGGCAGCTCTGGAGCGCGGGCGGAGGAGATAGGAGCCTGTGGTGGCCGGGGGGTTACCCCCATCGGTGACTCGCTCCGGCTGTGCTTTCCCAGCGTTTGCCTTGTTCTCTCCTGGTGCGTTCTAGCTCATCTAAGGATTTGCCTGCGCATTTTCCACGCTCATACAAAGCTTTTGACTATGGACAGGTGCTTTTAGTGTTCATAGCACGGTGCCAGTCTTGACGAATAACCCTGATGTCTCTAACCTTTCTTTCCTCTCCGAGGGCTTTTTATGTGGAAGAAGCCCTGTGCCACAAGTGATCAAGACGTGACCCCCTTTCTGCGGTGCAGAATGTAGGTCTAACGCCCTCTGTATTTCAGCAAATACAGTTGGTGAATTTTCAGGAAGGATTTTGCGCTTGCTCCCCAGGGGACCGCAAGCGGCCTGGCAGTGCTGAGCCACGGCGGAAAATCAGTTGTGCTGCCCGTGCGTCCCGTCGTATGGTCGAGGGTAGAGCAGCGACAGCCCTGCGCAGGCAGCTCCGGGCTGCAGAAGGAGCCGAGCTCTCAGGACGGTGGCAGTCAGCCCGCACGCTGCGGGACCTGCTGGCGTTCTCTCTGAGCACAGCTGCTCTGTCGGACCTGGGGGAACCTAAATCCGGCTCTGAGATGAGCAAAGAGAAAAGAAGTTAAGACTATCCTCAAACCAATTCTTCCACACTCTAAGGATGTTGTCAGTGCTTTGCGAGTTGATGTTTCCTGTCAAGTATCTTCCATGGCTGCCTTCACAAATAATTCAGGAGGGGTTACATTTTGTGAGTCACTATCCATATATAACAGCTGTTAAATCAGTTTATTATAGTAGGCCTGTCCTGGTCCTATGTACTGCTAATAATAGAAATGCTTTTCTCTATGTATTTTCTCCTAAATATGTCAGCTGTTACCTGTACTTACATATTTATTCTTTTTCATTTAGATCAACCAGTCGCACAGAATTTACAAGAAAAGCTTCTAGTAGTGAAAAAGAGACAGAATCCGTTGTAGTTTTAGATCCGGTTTCCACCAGTGGGGATCAGATGTCTGAAAACACACTGAATCGGAACAGAATGAAAGAAGAAAAAAGCAAGCCGCCGCACAAAGAAACTAATGTTGAGAAAATAAAAGAGGCAGACAGTTCTAACTGTTAATTGTTATTCTGAAAGGCTGTCACTTTTGGGAGTCATTATCTGGACGTGTAAATTGCTTAGGTGTGTTACTGGGGGCTGCGGTCTGTACTCCAAACAGTTTTCAATAATATAGATTGAAACAGTCTTTTGTATGCAGTTTTGTTACACACATTAAGGTGTTAAATAACTGTGTCTCACTTAAAATCCCTTTCCCATTTTGATTTTGCAGGTACGGTTATGATTTTCTTAGATAGTGTCAGTTACCTTTACTTTAAAATTGTATTTGAAAAGGCTTTTAAAATCATTCTTTTATTGAGAAGATGCCTTGTTGAAGCTCTGTTCTAAAGCTTGCCGGCAGCCCCTTGCATCCCTCTTGAATTGGACAGCTTTGGGTTAGACCCCATGAAGGAGTTTACGCTCACATCAGCTTTAGTATGGGGGGATACCACTAATTATTAAAACGTCCGTGTTTAGACACGTTGCTTTAAAAATATTTTGAAATCTACTTAAACCAAGATCTTGGAGGTCTCACTACTGTTATCTCCACACGCGTTCTGTGGAGGAAATGAAAAGCACAAGCACGCTCGCTGTGGGCAGCCGGCCCGCAGGCTGAGAAGCCGCGGCGGCGCAGTGCAGCGTTGCGGTACCAGGACTTTGGGCAGCGATAGCAGACATCAGCGGACTGAGGTTGATGCTCCCGTTTGGGACCAGTGTTTTCCAAAGGAGGAATTCATCTCCAGGTTTTTGTTTCACTGTTACAAAGTGAAGTTTGGAAGCTGTTGCAACCAGAGTCTGTGTTTACTCCTGTGAAAAACCATCTGATCCCAGACTCCCCCGAGCACGGGCAGTGTTTGGGATTCAGTCATTCTAGGATTGCAGGTTGTTTGGAATCAGAGTTTTGAGAACTCCCAGCTGAAAGCTCGCTGTGCTAACAAATAAGCCTTTGCTTTGAACCTGGTACACACCGGTGGCATTAATTTCTTTATTAGGTAACACTTTAGATGTCCGTATTTGGTAACACAAATCCCAGTTTCCCTCGGCCCTTTTCTCCTGCGAAGCCGGCGAGATAGATACGTAATCGGTTTGCTCCACTGCCAGTTCACATTCTGTTGTGGTCTCTCTTTAAATTCAGCACAGCATCTCATTCTTTTATAATGAACAAACAAACGTAATCAGGGATTTGCCTAAAGATCGGTGTAGCTGAAATGGGGTGGTCAAGTACTTGAATGCACTTGGGTTATTTTGTACTCAGTGATTTGAAACAGTGACAGCATCGAAGGATGAGTGTTCCAAGTTTGTTGGTTTGGCTCTGCATGCAACTGTCTGGTGCTTTTCCTAAAAATAAAATGATAGTAACGAGTGTGGTAGTTTCACATCTCTTTTGGTGTTTTTTGCATGTTTGCTAAGAAAATCCTGGACTTGATCTAATAATGGAACTACATATAATTCCTAAACTTGGGGAAATTTGTCTGTCAATGATGTCTTCAGTTCTGGGGGTGGCTGGTTTTGGTGGTTAAGTTTTCACTTAGGTATCATTTACACTGAAATTAAAATGCAACATTTTATATCTGTATTTTTCCTCAGATTATTGCTGCTGTATTTATACGTTCAAATTTTCAAATGATGACGCAAAACCCGGAAGTTTTTTAAGAAGCATTTCTTTTACTTAAACTGTTTTGTTACTTAGGACATGAGCTATTTATTTATCTTTTCACTGTTGCTGATTAAAAAGACTCCTGACAAGTTTCCCAGACCTTGTGAAATTGACTTGTTATTCCCTGCCTCCGACTGCCGCGAAGCTTCCTGGTGCTGCCAATTACAGCTTTGTGCCCTACATTCGGGGTTTGCGCTGCTGCGCTTGTGGTGAGAGCTGAACCAGAACTGGAGCAAAATTTCCTTCGTAGGCTCGATCTAAGAGCAGTATTGCGGGGGGGACCAGCGTAACAGTCAAGGCCTTTGTTTTTTGTAACATGTTTTTTTGGTTTGTTTGAGTTGTTTTACTGTTTGTCAATAGCTTGTTCTTTGTCTGGTGAGAGATTTCGACTTTCCCAAAGCAAACATTTGTTTTGGACTTAACACAGAGGTATTTGTTTTGTCAGTTTGTAAATGCAGCACAGAATTTTGTGGTGTTTTCAAACTGTAGCTGATGCTCAGTTAACATGGTTTCAGCTGAAGGCAATGGTCTCCTGGGAAGAGAGAAGCTAGTCTCTGAATGTTTTTAAAAATGTTTGGCTGAACTGCTTGAAAAGAAATGGATTAAGGAACAGCTAATATACGAGGTCCTTAGTAGAATTTTTTTTTTGTTAGAAATGTATCTAAATGTTGAAGAATTTTATCTAAATGTTGACAACCTAGGTCAGCATGCTGTTCTCTGGGAGGTGAGCGGGCAGGCTGGGAACGTGCAGCACTGGCCAAGAGAGCCGGGGAGGCAACGAGTCTTACTGTGGGGGAGGAAGTACATCAGAAAGTTGGTTTTCTGGCTGTGATTCTTCAGCAAAAGCAATAAATTCAAGATTTGCTTCACCTGAAACAGAAAAGAGAAACTCATGTTACAGTTTCTTGTAACTTCTCTGGTACACTTGATTTTTTTTAAAATGCCACACCGTGCTTTAACACCTTGATTTTTTTAACACCTCGGATTTTTTTATTGCATCCTTCACCAGTCATCTTGCCTTGCTGCCCCTTTTTTTTGAACACCCGTTGTCCTCTGCTCGGGTGTTCTCAGCAGAGTTGCCCCCAGCTGTCTGTGCCTCTTCCCAGCCCCAACCTTCAGCAACTCCGTGCAAACCCTCATTCAGATATTGCTGCTGTAACTAAGGCTTCACCTCTCTTCTCCCAGTTTTCCCCAATTCTGTGACATTCCTTCCTCACCTGTGACATTCCTGACCTCACCACCCAACTCCCTCTTTTGCCACATGCACAGTGCCCGCCCATCCCCACGTAAGTCTTAGCTCCGTGTTACTCTTTGGTAAAGTGACGGCTGGTCCGTGTCTGAGCCAGTGACCGTTCACACACACCCTGCAGGTCCAGAGGCCGCAGCCCGGTGCATCACCAGGGCTGCACTCAGGCCAAGGCACTGAAGTGCCGGTACCAAGCGGGGCCGGGTGGCAGGAGGGCTGAGGCACCGGTTGTCCTGGTGCTCCAGGCCCTGCCACGTGTCCCTTCACTCCCCGGGGGACTCGGGTTGGGTGGGTGTCACCTCCTGCCCACAAGCTGCTCCAGGAGTCCTCTGGTGCCCAGCTGCCCAGCGCCCAGGGCTGCACTCAGGCCAAGGCACTGAAGTGCCGGTACCAAGCGGGGCCGGGTGGCAGGAGGGCTGAGGCACCGGTTGTCCTGGTGCTCCAGGCCCTGCCACGTGTCCCTTCACTCCCGGGGGGACTCGGGTTGGGTGGGTGTCACCTCCTGCCCACAAGCTGCTCCAGGAGTCCTCTGGTGCCCAGCTGCCCAGCGCATCGCACAGCCCGCGGCCCAGCCAAATGAGGAGCCTGGTATGCGGCTCAGAGCTGCCATCGCAGTGTTTCCCTGCTGTTTGATTTAGTTATTGGATTTTATTTCTGCCAAACGATTAACGGCTTCGGGAATTGTTGCGGTTTCATTTTAGGAGATGGAGGTCCAAATATTTGTCAAACTCAAGCTCTTTTGTTTAGACTGTACCATTTGAATAGGGAATATATTCATGCTGCTGTGGCAGTTAAAATTCATAGTTCTATAATTATCTCTCTTGTTTTTGAAAAGTGCATTCTGTGAAACTTAGCAAAAAAGAATTTCTGGGTTTCTATTTTCTTGCAATGAGCAAGGAGGAGACTTTGAAAATTCAGAATGTTTCCAATATTCATATATTTTTAAAATCAAACCTTTGTTCTATAGCATGCATGTCAAGTGCTGCTAACCTATGTATGGAACATTGGAAACAATTAGCAACGAGAGGGTAAAACGACTTAATTCTTCTTCGTGTTTCTTAGGCATAATAAATTCTTGCGAACCCTTTCCTTCCTTTCTTCTTCTTGTCTCTCTGCCTCCCGTTCAGCCTGTATGCCTTTATTCTGCCTTGATTGATACCTGAGCGAGTGAGAAGTGGCTCTAATGAACTGTTAAGCATTTAGCAGGGTCCAGGATGCAGATCCTGAAACGCAGGCAGATGCATACAAGTGGCTAAGGCTGAATGTGTGTCCTTAGCTTCAGGTTTTCTTGGGTTTTATTTAGTACTTACCCATGCGACTGTGGCTTTTCCAAACACATTTTGCTGGAAATGTTAAGGCACAAAGGCGGTTGTGAAATGGAAGTTTTGTTAGCAGTATATGTTCAGGGGCTCAAGGGAGGTGGGGTATTTGGCCTAAAATTCCGTTTTGGCAGCTTTCGGGTGTGTTATATGCATGGGTTTTGTTTTGTCCCTTTTGCACTGTGGGCTTCAAGACTCCAACCAATTAATTCTGGGGGAAAAAAAAGCTTAATGTAGGCTACTCCTCAAGAAGGGGTCTATTTTAACATTCAGTAAACAGATAATCCATTAGGACAACAATATACATTGTGGCAAGTGCTATCCTAGGTTTTTTTTGTCAGTGCTTATTTATAGTCTTTTGATTCCACTCCCCTCCTGTGGTGCAGTTTCAATCATTCTCCCTCCAATCTTTGTTCTCGTATTCATTGCAAGCTGAAAACAAAGTAAGAAAGAAGCTCATACGTAGCGTTCTATTCTTGGCCAGTTCTTCCTCTATAGCAAGGAGGCGGTTGTATTTGGTCACCCTTTCTCCGCGGGAAAGACCTCCCAACTTGATAAACCTGGCACCCAGTCCAACCGCCTGAAACGAGAAAGTGGGTATTTTAAAACTACACGCTTTAGGAAGTGAAGCCATTCTTAATTATTAAACACGGTATCCTAATTTAACGCTAATTTCTGCAGATAAAAACCCTCCTCTAAGTGGAAATAAAATTTCCTGATGGAAGATGTATCGTATGCAGAAAATAATTTTCGCTGCAGTGTGAAATTTTATTTGCAGATGTAGCCTTAATAAAAAAAGACTAAAGATATTATTGTTATTTTTTCCCTAAAATATTATCGCTGCTCAGAAATGTTTTAAGTAAATCACAGTTTTTAATAAACTTATGCAACCACATAGATCGTACACACTTTTGAATATACTCCTGCTTTGGCAAATTTCCTCTGTGTTCTCTTTAAACTGAAAGATTAACTCTCTATGGGGGAAAAAAAAGCAACTCTCTAGAAAAAGCCCGTTTTGTAAAACCTTGTTTCTTTCTCAAGCAGAAACAGGCTTTCTGCTTTAAAAGTAGTTCATGTTGAAAGCAGCGTTTTGGCAATTCTGCAATTGAACAGCTTTCAATGCTTACCAGATCCACAAGGCTGTCATCAGAAGATTCTCCATCTGGGCTTCCTAATATGGTAATATGTCTTTGCCCTATATATAATGGAATGTAATACCTTCGTTAGTGTATATTTTATATATTCGACGTGGAAACTGTTTGGATTTGTCACTCTGTTTTTATGCTCAGGCTATCTGAGCTTAAATACAAACAGGAGTTAAGCCAGTGAAAGCCATCTCATGAAAATGTAAACTCTGTTAGTTTGCTACGTTAACGTTGCCTCTTATTTGCAGCAGGGGTAAGGGAATATCTCACATCCCAGCCGTGTTTCTGCCTCTCGCTGATCTGGTCAGTAACGTATTCTTCAGGCTAGGTGGCTCTTCTGTTTATTTTAATCATGGTCCTTACTATAGTAATGATTTTTCTTCACTATAAGAAAGAGTTTACCATTTCTGAATGAAATATTTAAGTTGCTATTTACTTGCTTTGATGTAGTGATGCTGGGCTTTCTGAAGGAAAAAGGAAGGAACTTCAATATATTAAATTTGTCCATCTATTCCTTGGGTGTAAAAATGAAGGAAGAAAAATTGATACGAAGAGAAATCTTACAGGGGAAACCGCACAGGTTCTTAGTACTGTTACAACAAAGGCTCAAGAATATGTAGCCAATAATCTACATAAACTGCAATTTTAAACACTTTGGACTCATTTGGATTTCTTGTTTATTAAACACTAGCATTAGTCAAAATTCAGATTACTCAACAACATCTTTTTTATTTTGTCTAATTCTGATCTCTAACTGTATGACACTTAGCTGCAGCGTCAAAGGGCACTGGCATTCAAAACACCCACGGTGTATTAATTTGCTACAGCGGAAGGTTTGAGCGCTGTTTTAAGTTCCTGAACAGAGATCTGTGAATCAAAACATGAATTTTAGTTTCTTCATACAAGTGTTTTCTAAATTACAAGTAGCAACAATTAAATCAGATGTAGTATTTACAGGTGCAGCAACACTATTTATTGACCTGAAGGGTTTTAAAGTCAGCCTTTCCCCCCTCTACTCACCATCCAGAAGCCCCGTGACTTCGATGAGGTCTGACACCTTGGTTCCGTTAATATATTTTAGGACAACACCACTGCACCTTGGTACGTTTATGTTTTGGTCAATTTTAAGTTTGGAAACACATGTGGCAGCATCTTCAGCAATCAGGTAACATTTGGAACCAAGAGCACAACATATGTTACTCCATTGTTGTCTGTCCTGCATAAACAATCAAGTAAATAAGTGGAGTTTAAAAAAATAAACCAAATGAAAACCCTGAGGAGTTAAAAACAAAAATTAAAATTAAAATATAAAAATTTGCATTTAATCCTAAAGATACCCTTCATATAAACATATTTTCTACTGTATTCTAAATCTATCTGCGTAAGAAAGACATACCACCAGAATTTTGCTTAAATTTTAAGATTTTGCTAGAAAACATTAATTCTAATCTGGCATCAAAGCTACTTGCATACAAATATATTTTAAAATATTTCAAATGAAATTAAGTGTAGGAGCTTCCTATTTTGATTTTCTTTCAGAAACTTATTTCATTTTAATGGAGTACAAAATAATTTTCTATTGTTTTATGCAGGAGACTCAGTCTTGTGTTGGTATTTTAAGTGTCATAATATTTGTCTGAACATAAAATAATGAAGCAGGAGGCAGCCATAGTCTCAGTGACACGTATCAGGATGGGCTGATGAGGGCTGTAAGACTGACCCACAGGGAAGAGCAAAAACCACCGCGCTTCCGCAAAGCTCGTTTTCAGGGTCTTTGTTTCTCGATTTTAATGCACTGCCCACATGGCACTATGATTTAAAGATAAATGAAGGACAAGGATATGTAAATAATTTGAAAGGAAAAACTTACAAATTAAATTGATTTCTTTGTGTGCACAGGATGCAAAGTTCTCACATAAAAATTCCCATTACTTTTCTAGTTAATAATTCTGCCAGTAATAATTCTTGGTCTGTGGATGAGGCAGACCTTTGTATCTACAGAGTTGTGATCTGTATCAGGGTCCATTCCTGTAAGGATTTCAAGCTCGCATGAAAGTGAAAATTAAGTTTCTGAACAAATGTTTTAATTTAAGCATTGAAGTGGTCTGCTCTCTGCCAGTGAATTGCTGAACTGGTACCAGGGCTAATCCTCAAGGACCTAATTATTGGTGGCAAAGATATGGCGGGGGTGAACTTTGTAGATTTATGAGGGGGCAGGAAGAGGAGGAGACGCATCTCCTTTCACAGTATTTGATTTTGAATGGTACGTCACTATCTGTTGTCATTCTCCTGCAGCTTTTCATACTGCAGATATGCCTCTCTGTAAGAATTCTCATGGGAGTTTGCAGCCCTAGCAGGAGAGGGCAGTAATCTGGTATTTTGGAACGTGTAATTCAAACAGTCAGACTGAAACATGACAGGAAGGCAAGGCTGAGCGGAGTGAGGCAACAGTCCACACAGATATTCAGAAAGTGGACTTTGGAAGTTCAGTCAAGAACAAAATCAGATGGATTTTGCAGTTCACCTGTTTTAGAATTACTGATACAGGCGCTGGGCAGAGTCACAAAGACAACTTCCCCTTTCAATCGTGGCCTTCGTGTTTTGTTCACAAAAACAAATCCCTTATATTTGCTTTAGATAAAGTGTGCAATTTGACAGCAAGAGCAAAATTTTATTAAGTTGTGCAGCTGCACAATCTAGGTCTACAATTGTAGGTTCTGCTGCAACTAACTTTTAATCTTTTTTGTACTAGATAGAAACTGAATCTTATGTATAAATGCTAAGAATTAAGGCAATGCAATCTGTTTCTTGCATCCGTCCATAACTTCTAACATGCTTAATAGTATTCTACTTTATTGTTGTAATCTATTGGCCACACTAAATTAACTCCTCTAACTTCGATCACAGTGGTAAATACATGCTATCTTATTACCACTTTAAAAATTCTGCCAAGCAATGCTACTAGTGACAGTTTTTTTCTGGCTTTAGATATAAATCTCAATCATAAAGAAGAGCTGCAATAAATTTTTGAGTGATTCTAAGGATTATACAACTATGTCAAAATTTTAGGTAATAAAATAATAAAATATTATTAATCATTTTAATTTTATAATTTGAATTATTTCTTTACAAAAGAAGAAAAATGTAATTAAATTACACGTGTTAAGCAAGTAGAACCAGGAAAAAAACCCCACATTTTCTTGTAATTCTTTATTTGTACTGATCCCATTCTGTTCATGCCAGGATTCTTTTCTGTCAGAAATTATGTCCAAAAGTATGGAAAAATTTAGAGTTACTGTTGTCAGTTACACATATCCAAATGACTTAAATACATTTGTATAGTGATTTTTTTTGCGCTTAAAGACTCCAAAACCTGAAGCTCCCTATCTTACATGTTGGGGTTTTTTTAAATGTTATATACCACTTAACAGTATTATCAGTTTTTCAAGGGCTGTACTGTGGTATCTTACCTCTTTTCTTAAAGGATCTATCAATGCAATAATACAAGGAAATTTTTTAATCAGTTCCACATACATGTCAACCATTTCATCAGGACTTTTGAAGGTTCCAGTGAGTATTTCATATTTTTCTTTAACCTAGAAAGAAAAGAATAAAGCATATAAGACAAGGATACTTTAAAAACTAGAGTACTAAAGTAAGCACATGGATCTCGTGGCACCAGTATCTCTGTTAAGGCAGTGGATTGTGCGTTCTTTGAACCACACACAATCGTTCACTTGTCTCCTTTGTATCTAAGTGGTCACCATGTTGTCACAGAAAACTCTGTCTGAAGCAACGGTGGTTTCCAGTGGACTCATGCCAAAGGCTCTGAAAGATGCTGAAGTAGTTTTACACTTTGGAAGTAGAAAATATTGCTGAGGGAAAGGACTGCACCCTCAGTGCTCAAAACAAAAATGAAGATACTGCCTTTCCTTGCCTCTTTCCTCTTTCAAAAATAAAGCCAAAAAAAGGAGGACTAGTTAAAAGCCAGTCTCAGCATTACAGGAAGCACAAACCACAACATAAGAGGATTACTAAGGGCACACTGTCAAACTGTGGCAGAATACCCACTGCACTAGTGACTTTACCAGTTCAGTAACAGAAAGTTACAGATTAATTGATAATTCTTTGGTTAAGATTTGGCTCATTCTGGTGTAGGATACCAGGATATCACAGATTGTCAGGAAAGCAACTTTCGCAAAACATTAGTAATGGAAGGTTGGTCACTATAGTCTACTCAAACATACAGAAGCCTCCTGAGATATTAAATTGAATAGGAAGATTCTTTTTCTGCCTAGAGAGAAACCTGATTGATCTTGGAACAGGGGTAAAAGCTCTGTCAAACAAAAATATTGAAAAATAAGAATTAAAAAATGAATGTTGATACACAATAAGATGAATGTTAGTGGGTAAAAATACACAGAAAGGTCAAGGTAGTTTGAAGAAAACAGATGTGGTGTAATATAATGGAGTAATAAGCATCCAGTGGTGTGAAGGAATTACAGAAATATGCTTGTGTAAATCACTTCTTGTTCTTCACCCTTGAAAGCAAAGTGGTTAGGAAAACCAAAACGGGATTTTTCACTTAATACTTTAATTCAAAATTATCTGTGACATAATGTGAAATGAAGCTGGTTTGCTAAACAGAGCATGTAGCCGGTGCTTGTCTGGTTTGCTGTGTTTGACAAAGGCTGATCTGAAAAATTGTATTAAATAAACGGAGCAAAGGTATAAATCTGGCTGATGCAGACAGGCTGATACCATCCGAATGATTAAAGTTAAATCATGAAAGTACCAGTGATACCCGTGAGCAGGACACAAGCTGCGATGGGGCCTCATCTCCACACACGGTGCAGCACCAGCCCGCTGGCACGGCTGGTGGGGAGGGACACGCGCACTCTCGCTGCTCCTGCCACAGGGAGCTCCCTGCGGGGGTGTCTGCATGTCTCGTCCCCTCGCACCCACACACCGGTATGACTGATTCAAGTGTAATTTATAAATGCAGAGACACTTCTTTCAGTTTGCTTGATTGCTACCTTCAAAACTGGAGTTGGAAGCTTCTAGGTGAGTTTGCAGTGTGCTAATAATGTTAAGAGATAGCTACATTCCTTTTAAACTGCAACAAAGTAGATATTGAAGGTAACTTACGTAATCCATTAATTCATGAGCAGCACAGTTTACTGCTAAGTACACATCTGTTCCTAGCTCCAGACCTATATTGTTACAAGCAGTTTGCATTAGGAGTAATGGTTGCTCTAGATCGTCGCATCCTGTTATTAGGCAACCCAAGTGGGATATTCTTTTTAAGGCTTGTGGCTGGAAGTAAAACAAAAATAATCACTTTATTTACACACATGGATAAATGTATAATATTTGTACATATATATATATTTTTTCACTGTCATCTCAGTCTGCATTCAGTCATCAAAATATAAATCTGTTCTCAGAAATTGCATTGGCAACTTTAAGGACAATTCTCTATAAATGAGGGGTAATCAAGTGCTAATGAGTAGAGAGCTAACAGTCCCTGGAAATATGTCAAGTCAGATAGTTCTCACTCTTATATGGCCAGTGCTGGTTTACAAAAAGATTTTAAAGGTGTTCTGAACAACCACTGAGTTGTCATAGATGCTATGCAAAAGTTTCTGGTGCTGTGGAGCATCCCTCTGCCACAGAAATGCACTCTCCATTTTTAAACAGCTTTTACTCATTTGTCCTCAACTACAACTTTGATATTGCCTCTGTGGAGTGTTCAAAAACCACCAGCATCTTCCAAGACTTCTAGAAGGAACAAATTTGATAGAGGGGATGTGCCTCTAGCACAGTTCCATGGAGTTGTCTGCCTCAGGAACCATGTTCCTGGACGTGATCCATAAGCAGAGTTGCATTGAGTAAATATTTCACATGTCCTTCGGTTGTCAGTTCTTTTGCAGGTTTTTAAAACACTGATTTTTAACTTTAAAGTCTGAATTTAGGTTATAAAGAATGACTCTAAATTGCCCAAAAAGCGGCAGGATATAATTCTGGGTTAGACTAGAGAAGCTGGTAAAGGATTTGGAGCGTGTATTGTACAAGGAACGGCTGAGGGATCTGGGGCTGTTTAGCCTGGAAGAGACTGAGGGGAGACCTTATCGCTCTCTACAACTCCCTGACAGGACGTTGTAGCAATGCAGGGGTTGGTCTGTTCTCCCCAGTGGCGAGTGATAGGACACAGGGAAATGGCCTTAAGTTGCACCAGGGGAGGTTCAGGTTGAATATTAGGAAGAATTTCTTTACTGAGAGGGTTCTCAGCCATTGGAACAGCCTGCCCAGGGAGGGGGTTGAGTTGCCATCCCTGGAGGTGTTTAAGAGGCAGGTGGATGTGCTGAGGCACATGGTTTAGTGGTGTTGATAGGGCTGGGACAAAGGTTGGACTCCATGACCTTGAAGGCCTCTTCCAGCCAAAACTGTTCTATGATTCTAAGTCAATTGGAAAGCATCAATTCTGACAAGTCAGAGAACTGACCACAGTGGACAGAACAGAGGCCTGGCTACAGAGGATATATGAATGTTCCTTCACATAAAAAATTACAAAGAAAATGCAGGTCAAATTGTTATGGGGTTATTTTGTAGCACTCTGCATGGGAAGACATTTGACTTGTTGCGTTTGGAGCACTAAGCTGCAGCAACAGACAGCATGGAACGCTGCAGTCTTCCTGCATTCGGTAAGAGATGAGAGGTTAATTCTGCATTTTCAGGTGATTTTCAAAGCATCCACATGTTGGGTCTTGTGACATTCTATTAAAAGCATTGTTTATCTTTATAAAATCACTTCTTCTGTTGGTATTTACTTCTGTAACCTAAAAGGTTATTCTTCTTCATTGCCTATGTAATTTTACTTTTTTTTAAAAAAAAATCAAGCTAACATTGTGCCCTTAACAGTTTAAAATTCAGTCTCACTACTATCTCCTTTAGTTTTCTCATATAGAAATAAATGGATTTTTTCCTTGTTCACATCTTAAGGGATTATTTTAACTTGTGACTGCAATACATACTGTGATTAGAAACATGCAAATTGCCCACAAAAAACATTGGCCAGCTGCTTAATGATGATGACTTTTGTGTTGTTTAAGCAACACACAAAAAAGGAAAACTTTCATTCATCCTCTCTTTTGTACACTCCGCAACAGCAACAATTCTCACCTGATAATATTTTAATCATCTAAGAATGGAGAACAAAACTGGTATGACATTTCCATCCCGCTATTTGGGAAACTCATCTATAAACTACAGGTTTTGAAGTGATTAAAAAAGATTATTTGAGTCATATCAAATAATGCCCTGTGCACTGTTGTGAGCACAGCCCTTTAGCTACTGGTTTGTACCTTCCGTTATCTGTAACCTCAAACTGGAAATGGGAACTTAATGCAGAATGATCAAAAAGAGAGTTAGGAAACATCAGAATATGCAAGTCTTGCAGGTAATAGTTTTATGGCCTGCAAGATTAAAAGGACGTGTTCTCTGCTGGTGCTACAGGCCTGCAAAATGTTCATTGGATAATTTACCAGGATTTCTACACGAGAAAAAAGATCAGATTCCAGAAGAATTTCCCCTTGCTGTTATTGTTCCACAGGAAGTGAAGGAAGAGTCAGAAGAATACCAATTATTACGTAAAATACAAGCATTTGGAATATTTGAAAGTCTTGCCTTGACCTTTCCAGAATGGTCATGTAGATTAATGTTTCATTTCTTAAGAACATTTTGGTTCCCTGCTGTTGTTAGTACCTTGCTGAAGACTTAAAAGGAAAATCTCTTTTCTTACCGGAGCTTTTTTCCCTGCCTTATGTGCTTTGCCTTTCTTACTGTCTGCTGATGGAGGATTGGGCTGTTGGGACTGAAAGAAGAAAGAAATCAGTTCCATGGAGAAAAGAAAGACAGAGAGATCTCAGAATAAAAACCAAACAAAAAAGTTGACTTAATTTTGGTCTAAAGACATTGCAAATATTTACGTTAGGAAATAGCTTCTGTTTTGTCTTGGACACTACGAGCAGCTATCCGGTTTTGGTGTGTGGTGGTTACTAATTTCAAATGTTTATTTCCGTGCACCCATAACTACAACCATCGTTTGTTTCTCCAGAGATCCTCACCTAGCCTATCGAATAGGGAAATGAGAGTCTAAGACTCCGTACCTTGGAGAAAGCCAACCACCTCACTCTGCAAAAAGCATATGCACATTGATTCGCTACTACACTGGTAGTACCTTGAATAATACAAGTTTCATCTGCGAGACATAGCAAGATCAGACCTATATATTGTAATATTCACTGTGATATTGTTCACTCCCACTATACTTCTTCAGGTAATCAGAAAGTCCCACTATGCTTTGAACAATGTTTTATTCCACCTTCATTAACTTAATGTCACCAAATGGTCATTGTTTCATTCATCTGTCAGAGAAACACATCTTCTACGCTGTGCCATTTAGCCTGATCACAGGCTAAATGTTCCATGTTTAATCTTAAAAAGACAATAGTAGTAGAAAAACCAAATTAAATAGATCACATTATTATTACACATTTTTATTGTACCGCTTTGCCTGGAGGCTCCAACAGTCTCATCATTTCTTTCTGAATATCCAGAACTCTTTCTATGCCCTGAAATTAAACAACAGTAATCTTCAAAACAATGATAGATTATTTTATTTTAGCATCTTAAATCAGGAGAGAACATTTATTCTAAGTGAAGATCTTCACATAAAGTCTTTAAAAAACCTAACTATTACAGACTTCCTTAACACAATCCCCCCACCCACAGAATGCAGTCAAGTGTCCAGTGACAATGAGTCAGCAGTAAGTGGAATTAACAGGAATATTTGCCGATGCTGCTGAATGGCATGGCAGGAAAAGTGGTCTCTTCTTCACCAAAAGGAACCCTTCCCAAATCTAACAAGTGAGCAGTATCGGGGTCTGCATAATACCTGAGAAGTGGGAAGGTAACAATCACTGTTTACAACTGTGTCTCTATCTATGACTTCCTTACTGGAACCTCTGAAAAAATTGAATATATTTACCTTTAGAACATTGCCAGGAAGCAGGAAAAAAAAATGCTGCCTTCATTTTAAACACTGGGGAATGGAGGAACACCTCAATTAGATGAAGCCACTGCTTTTTTACTTTTCAGCTGAGTGAGCCGAAGTTTAATGCTAACTCCTTAAATCCCATTTCAGATTTTCTGAAACTGTGCCAATAAAGGAATACTGAAGGGGGCAGAAGTCAGTCACAGCTGACAACACACCAACACAGGAGGAATGGCCAGTTTTTGCACTGCAGCAAACAGCCCATCAGCGCGAGGAGGCATTATGTCCTTGAAGGGTACAGAATTAGCAACCCTGCTAAGAGCTCTTGGTGACAATTCTAAAAAGTTAAAGGAAACAGAACTGAGCTCAGCTATTTGTCCAGGTCACCAGCGTACAAAGTAGAAATCGCAGCCCTAATGTAGGCATCTGGTGCAGACACGTTCTTTAATGAAACACATAGCTGAACAAAAAGAGGGGGTTGAGCTCCCTCATCCTTCTGGCCCCTTGAATAGATTTTGTTCTGCTTCGTACTCCCTTCTATCTTCACAGTTTCATTTTAAAAGCAATTTATTCCCAAAGTTTTTATGCTTTCCTGTGATTTTGTTACAAGTTGTCACTTTGTATGTTCTATCAATTGATTAATAATATTTATATTCTACAAATATAAAATCACATTCTAAAAAAAATTAAAATCCCTTACTGCTGTGTAAAACAATTCCCTACATCCTCTTCAATACACTGATTTTTTTCTCTATACTAATACATATATTCTAACTTGAAATCTCCATATACCTTCTTTTAAATCTTCATCTATTTACTTCTTTTAATGTTCCTTTGTTAGAGTACTGCACTAGCATTTGTTAAAAATTGGCCTTGCAAGCAAAAAAAGAAAAATGAAAAATACAGTTTGTTAGGACTATAGTGAAACGATCTGTGTATTTATGTACATATACAGTTTATATGATCTCTACAAAAATAATTTATAAAAACGAAAAGGAAAGAGTACCTGTCTGAGTGATAACTGAACTGGTGGTATAAGCATAACTTCCTTCACTAATTTCAGTTTTGCTGGAGAATTTTTTTCACAGTTCAACACAGTAACCATTGGGAGTGGTAGAGTCATTTCTCTGGGTGGATCCTGTAATTGGGAGTAGCATGTGAAAATAAAAATGTCAAAAATCAGAATAACATCTTATATATTCTAAATATGTTACAGGGTTCAAAGACTACTACAGAAAATGGTCTTAAGGGCATATTCTGGGAGGTCTATTTAATATCACTGTCACAAGAGACTACTGGCTTCAGATTTCAAGAATAATTGTGATGAATGGGATGAAAGAAACAAAATTACCGAAGTCACGTGTACCTGATCATGTTTCAGCAGTGCAATATGGAAGTACAACGGGACATGGTTAATGGTGGCACCCGCCTTAGCTACAGCCAGCGACGCTCCCCCGATGGCTGCGCTGCCAGAAAGCGCCGCTTCAACGGGCTCTGCAGGCGGGATGGTTCTCTCTGCAACAGCCGCCTTCTTTCCTACAGGGCACAGAGTAGCAGCTAAATATCTCGTTGGTTTAAAACGTGTTTATGTATCACAGTTATATGAGTAAATATGACTTTCATTTCTGTACGTACTCAATGTACTACAAAAGAATCAGTTGTGGGTTTGTGTTTTTTTCTTTTTGTTTTTAAACTTAAATTTAGTCAGTTGTCGTCCTGGTTTGTGAGCACCGGGATGAAAGTTCTCTAGGACTCCTGGCACAAGGGCAGTCACCCTGCGGCCGCGGGCAGCTGTGCCTACGGGGAGGAAAGGGTGGGTCAGGTGACCCAAATGGACCAATCACAGAGTTTCTTCCCGTGGTGCTCAGTATATAAGGGCCCGTACGAAGTGCCCTGGGGCCTTTAGTGCTGCTGTCTGGCAGCACTTCCATGGGCTGTTTGTCATCTATCCCTGGGCTACTGGTGTTCCCGCCTCCTGTTTTCGCCCTGTGGAGGAGCACCGTGCATTGAAACAGGTTGTCTTCCCCTGCCTCCTCAGGTGGGAGCAGCATGGCAGCTTCAAGGTTCCTTTTTCTGCTTTTGTGGACTGTCGTTGGGACTCTGGGCTCGGGTGCCAAGTCTAGTCTGGGACTTTTTCCATTGAGGGCCTACTTGGCTTCCAGAAGTTGTGGGTTCTGTATTAACAGAATACTTGTATATATCTGTATATAGTTCAACATCGTCACTGTTATTGTTAATATTGTTTTTCTTCTCATTAAACTGATCCAAGTTTTTTTTCAATCTTTAATTTTCTCTCCCTGGTTTCCCTGTTACCCTCCCCTGAGACGGTGGAGGGGAAAACAAAGAGCATCTGACAAAGTTTAGCGTCTGGCCCAGCCTTAAACTTTGACAGAAATGATCTTACAAGTAGACCCAGTGGCTGTCATCACTCTGGTTTCAAATGTATTTCAAATCCATTATTTCTGAAGATCTTTCAGCCACTGAAATCTGTAAATTTTATTTATCTGTGTTTATACACAAAAGCTATTTTTATATAGAAAGAGTCTCTTCTAGCTGGGGACTCCAGCATGTAGCAATAGTACAAGAGACAGTGGTTTTAAGCTGAGCAGGGTACATTTAGATTAGACATTAGGAAGGAGCTCTTTACTATGAGGGCGGTGAGACACTGGAACAGGTTCCTCAGAGAAGCTGTGGGTGCCTCATCCCTGGCAGTGCTCCAGGCCAGGTTGGACGGGGCTTCGAGCAACCTGATCTAGTGGGAGGTGTCCCTGCCCACGGCAGGGTCATTGGAACTAGATGATCTTTAAGTTCCTTTCCAACTAAAACCATTCTGTGATTCTCCATCCAGTAACGTTATATCATTGCTCAGGTTCCTATCATCAGCATGATTTGCATATTCTTTATTGCCATCCTAATATGCTTACTTGCATAGGCAACTTGGAAGATTAGGCTGTAACCTGACTGGGAGTACACGTATTTGATTTATTCTAATAATGACTGTGGAAAAAATAGAGGCCTACTACAGTTGGATTTTCCAACGAGAAAACAGATCTTTTAAACATTTCACATGCAGTCTTGTTAAATTTTCAAAACAGTTTCCCTTTCAGATACTGCAGAGTAACTTTTGCCAGAATTCCTGAAACTCACTATCGTATTTATTGTCTACAGTGCTTAAAATGAACATATTCAGTAAGCACCTATGTGACACCAGAATAAATGATCTGATTCTCAAGAATAATATGCACTGGGGACACTGTTGTAAATCTGATCAACTACTTTGGTTCCTAAGAGGAGTGCTATACAAATTTTGATTTAAATCAAATATAAATACTACATATTATATACTACATAAAATGTTCTTATTTCCTCATTCTCTCAGTGCTAGCAAGAAACTTTCCTTCCTCCCGCCTTCTGTTCTTTGCAGCTTCTTAGTTGTATTTCTATCTTCCTGTTCAGTTCTGCGATTCCCTTTTCTTATTTTCACTTATCTTCTTCATTTGCATCCTCCTCCATTCCTACTCCTCACTCTGAAGAGTAATAACCTCCTGTCTAAGCCAACTATAAAAAAAAGGCAGAAACTGTTCAACCAATGCATATGAATGATGAGAAAACTCTGCGTTTTTCCCTCTCTCAGTTCTGCAGTAGAAACTCCTGGGATCAGAATGAAGATTCAGGAGAGAGTAACCAAAACCTTTGAACGCGAGACAAGTCTATGGAATCCTTCATAAAGTATTTTAACACCTTTATCCATATCTGTATTGCAGAAAATATTAAACCAAATAAACTAAAACCTGCTTTTGCTGCTTTTTTCCCCCCAGGTAGCACGGTTGCTGATGAAATGCATGAAGTAAGGGCAGGAGCGACTTCTGCTGCTTCTTCTTCTTCTGGTTTTTGAATCTCTTTCTTTTCTTCTACCTTTTTTGTAAAGTATTCACTGAGGGAAGAGGCATAAAGATCGCTGGCTCAAAATCTTGTTAGATACGTAACAAGTAGACACAGGATATAGACTAAGCTGATCTTTATGGTTCCTTCCAACCCCAAACATTCTATAAAGTCAATAAATGACCTTATTTTTGGGTAGTCATCTGCTGTGTTGGTTAAACAAAGTAAACCACAAGCAACCCTTGATATACACTTTTCAAGTCACACTAGTTTGAAAGTCAGCTCTGTGCAACCTTACTGTGAAGGATATATTTGTTTTGCATGGGTTGTAACGTATCCTGCCGTAACTTTGTGGCATGTGACAGCCTGGCCTAGGTTGCTCATCCAGGAGGGCGGTTGTACAGTGGTCATCTGCAAGCTCAGAAGTGGATAAATTTCAATTGGATGAAGTGGAAACTGCATACGTGGGTCACACTCACCCAATTCAGGCAAACTGCTTTCTTCACCCTGGAAGGACTAATAGGTCCTATCATCCTCTTCTTCAGTTGGAAGTGTTTCTTTCAGTTATATCACCGAGGAGAAGGACACTTTGCTGCAGGGGTAGCAGTCAGGCTGCCACACCGGATGCATTTTAACATATATATACATAGAGTCACAACAGCAGTGACAGTATGGCTGATCTAGCTTGATTTCATTCTGTCTGATTTTAATTTCTCTTCAATATTTTCCCAATACAATTCTGCACCACAAAAAAAAAAATCTGCCCACTTGGTCTGGAGTAAGTTGCACGAAACAGTTGTGTGCAAGCCAGTCCCTCAAACAGACCTGATTGCCTTCCACATGGTTTAGCTTTGGGGAAGACCCTGATGAAGGGAGTAAGGACTCAATTGGAAGGAAGTTCTTCCAACTGAAGTGGGGCTAAATAAAGCTTTAATATATTTACACTGCTTTACATACTCAGTTTACCTGAATTGAGCAAAAATCTGGTGATTCTTTTTCACTTTGAGATGCTCCCAAGAAGTATTTGTATGAAAAAATAAGCATGGATGTTCACTAAAGAAACTGTGTTTCCAGAGAAACTAGTCGCCTCAAGTAAGAAGCCTTTTGGAGTAACAGAAGGAAGACTCCACCAGAACCTGCAAACTCTAGGTATGTCTGTACATGTTTTCTGTGCATCAGCTCAACACCGAAGACACACAGAGACCTTTCGTTCCACTTTTGTAGTGCAGTGCAATGAATGGAAGAAGTGGAGTCACAGTCTGAAAAAACATCCTCACTGAATTAAACTGGCACCGAATGAGTTTCTAAAACAGAGCCTTTGACTCAAGAATGTGTTTGGGCATCTTTTTCTTAAAGATTCTTAGTTTTGTATTCCATGTATGAAACCTTGTAAAAACCAGCACGATTTTTGTATCATAATTGTGAAAAAAGCAGGAAATAGTATAGTGCAAAAAACAGTAGAAAACATTGAATATTCTATGTTTTTCATTTACAATATTAATTAATGGTGTCTATTTCAACACTAAATATTTTGTATGCTTTTCATTTACAATATAAATTAATGGTATATATTTCAAATGCATTAATTTACATAAAATGCAAAACCTACCCAAGCATCTTATCAACTTTACTCTGGTCAGTAGGCTCCAAGTCTCTTAACATCATGTTCAGCGACTCATTGACCCATTCCACAGCGGTGTTAACAGACTCATTTCTTTCTTTCTCATCTGCTTTAGCTATTTCAGGTAAAGCATCTTCAGGTATTTGAGAATGAGAAGGCATTACAGTGGAACAAATCCTCTGGAAAAAAACGTAAAAAGGCTTAGAACACTATTTAGTTTCTAACTTGGAAATGTAATTTGAAAGACTAAGAAGTATATGGCCGTACTAACTCTAACAGTACCTGTCTCCAGTCTACTGTTTCCTCCATTTACCTCTCTTTATCAGCACCTTCTTCCTACTCTCTTATACTTTGGTAATCACGTACATTATTCAAGTTTCTTGACCTAAATTACCACTAATTAGGCAAAAACCTCCTGACAGATCTGCTTTACACGTATATTTTGTTATCAGAATTGAACAGAGTTAAAGACTATACAGTCATTAGGACTTTTTTTTTTGCAGCTGTTGGTAGCATGTTGTACGATGTCTCATCAGCATTTGTGCTTAATGCCAACCCTCATGACTGGTTACATTTTATTTTACTTTTGTGTACTTTAAACTTGTGTTTCTTTACTGATGAAAAATAATACTTAAGAAAGGTCACATAATGAAGACATCATTTACCAATATATAGAGCTGCCTGCATTAATAACAATAATATTAAATTTATATGCTGTAAATATCTATGAAATTGTATTTAATTCAAGAACAAAGTGAACCGCATTTTAACTGAGGGAAAGTAAAAATTCTTACTCCACAACAGCTAGAGTTGCAAAGACAGTATCTTGAATATTTTGTTTTGGGGGAGAGATGGCAAAGCGCCATCAATTTTGCATTGCAAATACTAGATGTGTATGTTTGACTTATCACCCATATCAGCCTATCAGCTCAGTGTAAAAAAAGTGCCTTCACCTATACTGTTTTTCACCTGTACTATATTCTGCTGGGACACTGTCATATATCTAGAAATATAAGGATCTGAAAAGAGAAAAATGTAAAAAAAATAAACTTACAGGACTGGATATGGCGTGTAAGGAAAAGATACATGATCATTAAGACAGACAAAATATTAATATGCAAAGATGTACTGTCACACCTCATAAGTGTTGTCTAATGAATGGAAAAAAAAAGATTTTATAGTTGCTGCACTTTAACTTTTCATTACTTTTTTTTCTAAGTTACAACACTCAGCTGTTGAGTCACAGGGATTGACATCCTGAATCAAATACATAAAGATGCAGAATAAAATGTTCCTTAGGATGTGAGCAGAACAGTACCTTTCCCTGGTATTGTCTTATTAAAATAAATAAAACAGGAAGAAACAGCTCATACCTTCGCATAGTTTTTAACTGTACAGTGTATTTCCACCTCTAATGTTGGCTGACCAACTCCATCAAGAACTTTTCTTCCAACTAATTTGCATATTACTGGAGCTTTTGAAAATTTAGAAATGTAGTTAGCCTTAAATGAAAGAGAGAGAACTTCATTAAAACTCAATTTCTATGCAAACAGCTTTTTATTCCATTATATTTGGTTCAAATCCACCATTGAGCAAATCCATTCCAGTATCCGAAATTCTTCTGTTACACTACACATTTAGTTCTATATGATGATGGTCTGTTGAACTATCATCATCCAACTATAAGAATATATTTGAGGGTCTGTGTGTATTTAATAAACACTGATGATACTTTAGAAAAAAGATTAAGTTGCTACCTGAAGTTTACTACATACTTCCTTACTAGTTTCATTCTTTAGTCTGGTATCAGAGATGGTCACCAGACCACAACTTACCAAATGGGAAAACTAGGAAAAACTAGGAAAAACTTAGAGCTACATAGAAAAGGAACACACCAAACACCAAGCAAAACAAGAGCAGGTGTCGCCAGTTCTAGTCTACTCCACTGGTGATGACAAAACTCTTGGAGACGGGAAATGGTACAAGATGTAATGAAATGAAATGTTTCATCTCCACATCAAAGAACACACTGGAAATTATTTTTACAAGAGTTGTTTACTATTGTAGTGTTGGCGATTCCTGTATTATCATTAAGAGAGGTTTAATTAGGACTACTGTCAACAGTATTTTGTCAACTGGGAACAGATAAAATTTGTCCCATTCTTGACACTCCCACTGAGGCCCACTTGATTTTCAGGAGCTGCAGCATGACCAGCACCCACCCAGTCTCTTGTGGCCACTGGCCCGGCTCAGTTTCATTAGGGACATCCATCTCTGCCTTCCTAAGGCAACACACTTCACTTTTGTGTTCAGACCAGCAACTAGCCCCGCGGCGGCAGAAAACGCACTTGGCCCAGCGTCCGAAAACCTTGCTGAGTCAGTGAGAAGCTTAATTATAATCACTGAGACGTCGAGCTCCTCACACCAACCCTTATGGACACCCCGGGGCCTGCAGTGTTGGGGCGCACAGCGGCCCTCATGAGGGCACGAACGGGGCCGGCAGGGGAAGGGGGGAAGGCCCGGCACACCGGG